GCAGAGCTCACAGGCGAGCCTTGATGCAGGGGCTTAAGGACTTTGGCCAGAGGAGTACTTTACATAGTATAAAATGCACATGACAGGATTGAGTTCTGTTAGTTGCCATTGAAGTCCAAAAACTATATACAACAAACCATCAGAATTCAAACCCTCTTCATACTTGCACACCCATCTCTCTCCGGACCACCCAAAATGGAGGTGTTGAGCTCCTTCTCAGATACTTTGCTCTCCAAGCTGTGAGGATGTCCTCATAAGACCTGTCATATCTAAAGGTTCTAATCAGGACTAGATGAGCTGGTGAACTGTGGTGAATGTTATTGCACCCCACAGTCTGAGTTTCTGTTCAGACCTGTTGTTTTGATCCTTTTTACAAAATGATTAATAGTCCTACACTCAAAAAGGACCGAGACACCATTAAAAAGACATTAAAATACTGGACTTCCTTGACTGATAAGATGTAAATTCCAGACTCATTCACATTGTAGAGAGACTAAATGATCAGCAGTCAGCATCCAACCTCCAAACTAAAAATACACACAGCATTTCTGAAACAGTTTTTTTCATTCACGAACCCTTTGTTCAGCCTCATCAGTGCATCATTGTCTGTCGGTAGAGGAGAGAGAGGTCCCACACAGTCGGCTTCCACTGTAACCAAACAAGTTGTCCTGAGGCCCTCCAGGAGCTGGCGAGCACCGAGGCCCATTAACCTCATGGATGAATAATTTGAGTCAGAGCTGGCTGTTGGGCAGTGATGGGTCACCTAACAGAAACGGTCTGAACATAAAAGAAGCATACACACACACAAACATGTCCATAGTGTTAGAAACAACTGACATAATCTTACTGTAAAGAAAGATTAGACCTTCATCAGTCAGTCAAAGACAAACAAAGCTTGATATAAAGTTCAGTTTTATGTTAAAGCGAAATCTGCTTTTGTCTCAGATGATTGCTCATTATGTTGCTGCAATGCTATTGAAAACCACAGGCCCTATGAGCTCTATATTCCATACGCTTTAGTTCTGGAGCTAGTTATTACTGCTGCGCTACCTGACTGCCACAACTGTCTCTGGCTGTCGTGACCATATACCACATAGTTTCAGAGACAGAGCAGGAGGAGCGAAGAGGAAGGGAGAGTTTGTTTTGACTCTCAGTTCAACCTTAAGGGTTGAAAATTAGAAAAGTTAGTTAATGCAGCTTTAAATACATACAGTAAAACAAGAACTTAGCCTCAATAAAAAGAGAGTCTAAAGATGACAGAACAACCAGATTCAATGCCAACTTTCTGTGCCTGACAGTGTTCAATAGGCTAAGCAAAAAGTTTTGATTATGAGCCCGAGAAAAGTGTAAAGGACGAAGTGATAAGCAAGCAGCAGAAGGGAAGACAGAGGCAGAGAAATTATGATGAGGAGAGAAAGAGCGGGTCACAAGAGGACAGAGAGAGAGAGAGAGTGGTGGGAAAAAGAATAAAAATGGTGAGAGAGGAGGAGGAGGAGAAATGGTTGATTAGGGATTGTCACATATGGAGACATGACAAGAAAAAGGGAGAGATGTTGAGGGCGAAAAAACAGAAGGACGAGTGTGAGACTTTGCACTTTTCTGGGAGTGAGTGAGAGCTGCGTTAAAGGTGGTGGGCCGAGAGAGGAGAGAGAGCAGCAGTGCTTTATGGAGAGCTGGAAACAGAGGGCGGGCGGACAGGCGGGTGGGCGCACGAGCCGGGGTGGGTGGGGCTTGTCAGCAGCCGCAGCCAGTCAGAGGCCAGTGTGGTGCTCTGCAGGGTGAATCTTACCCTGGCAACACAATAGAGCGAAAGAGAGGGGAGGGGGAGACGGCGGACAGGTGAACAGATGGCTAACTGACTGAGAGACGAGCTGATCAGTGGGCTACAGCCAGTGTGTGTGAGAGAGAGAGCATGTGTATGTACTGAAATGTAACACAAAGTGTTCATAGTGAGAGAGAGAGGGAAAGGGAAGGATGCCCATGTTTGCACTGTAACGTTCACAAGATGTCTGTTGTGTTTACAAAGAGTGAGACAAGCTGTTAGACCTTGACAGTGACATCATTTTGTCTGGTCCTCGCCTCCTGTTTGTGGGTCAAACTAGTATCCGCAGGAATTCAAGATTCAAAGAACTTCATTAATCCCAGCAGGAGAGGATTTTAGATTTCAGTCAAATAAAGTGTGCTGTAAATGTAAAATATATACTTATACTTTGTTGTCATGATATTCACAGGGGTCCCTGCAGTTCCTTTGGTGTATAGCAGATAGAAATGACGCAGACTATGGAAATAAGACCCAAGTTTGCAGTAGAGGAACAATCCAAGGTCAGAATTAAGCTGTGGGTTTAAGGTTGGGGTTAGACATGCGGTTATGATGGTCCTCAAAAAGCACAGTGTGTGCCAGCGCATGTGAAAGATGCACCAGCATGGCTCCTGTGTCACCACAGTTGTGTCTCCAGGGCCTTTGTCTCTTTGTGTCCCGACGGTCAGGGGCAGGAGGTCCTCGATCACGTCCTCCACACAGCCCTCTGTCACATGCTGTCACCGCCATGATGAGAGTTGTTTTATTTAAGTTTATTTTCTTTTCTTGGTGGTTCTTTTGTTCCTTGATTTTCAGGTCAGAGCACACATACATCCACACACCAGCTGCAAGCACAGAGTGTGTTATCTGTGGACAGAAGTGTATGTGTGGTGGAGGCTCCTGCACGTTAAATTTCCATTAAGCTGCAGATCTGAGTCGGGCAACTGTGTCCATGTTGGAACAGACATGTCTAATAACCTGATTCTGTGGGTAGATGAAATGCCACTGTGACACTGTGATAATAATAATAGTTTCCAGTTTTAATGAGATTCATATCAAAGAGCACTATTGTTATTAAAACGGAAAGTCTCTTTACCCTGACATCCAAATGGCATCATTACCCTTTTGCCCTCACCTGTTTGGAGGATTTAAGGCTACAGTAATTCATCCTAAATTAAAAGAACCTCTGTGTCTGCCTCCTCTGGGCTGAGTCGGGAGCAGGTTCAAGTTCCCGCCGGCTCCACTTCTGAGGCTGAGTTGCATGTAGTTGAGTCATCTTCACTTACTGTAGCAGTGGGAGTCATGGAACGTGTGCTGATGTTTTAATCAGACCACCACTTGATACAGCAGGTGGTTGTTAATTAGAAAAAATCCAGGCTACGTGAAATATTGAATATGATTCTAGAGAACTTTGAAAAAACAAATCTTTTATGCTAAAGTTTGATAATTGAGCCCTTAAAGAACCAGACACTTGTTTTTAACTGTAAGTCATATATGTTTCATTCCATTTTCAGATGCATCTTATACAGTTTTAGACATCTGAATTTATTTTTCCGCCCATGTCAGAGAATCTTTGATTTACGTTCATTTCCAAGTGGTGTGAAAATCACTGAGCAGGATCTTGAATGTCACCTGAGTTGTATACATTTATATTGACACAGGCTCTGCCAACAGAACCTTGACCGCATGACAAATAGAAGTCAGTGTGGACACTGGTTCTCCAGAATTAATAGCTTTCAACTGGTTTTCAGTGCAAAGCAGCTTGTTTAGAGTGTTCACTAACGTCAGGTTTCATATTTGTTGCAGCGACAAGCCTCTTTCTTGTATGGAGGTAAAGACGGTTTGAGGGATGCCCTTCCATATTCTTCTTTCAAAATACTGAAGGCCCAGTTCAGAAAATTCTTAGTAAAATGCTGAAAAAGTTTATTGGATGTAATATTCTTTTTCACTGGCAGATTTGTTTTACATTTTAAGAACTCAGGACTGAGATGGAGATTTTTGGCAATGTATTATAGTTTATCACATAAAGGGATTTTCTTCTTTTTGTGCCACTCAAGGCTAAAGTTTGTATCTGGACCACAGAAGGCCCTCCAACTCCAGTTCAAGATCCATTTTGCTTTAAGGATCTATCTGCTTGCCTGTGTGGTTAAGGGCCCACCAGGCAAAGCCACTTAATGGCAAATCTCTTTTAGTAGAATCCTCTCAATAAAGAGCCTCTGTCTCTTCCCTCGCTCTCCTTTCTCTTCTCACCCTTCCACAGTGTGCTAACACTGACACAACCTGTCTGGGCTAACCTCATCGCACACTTTCTATCTCAGCCTTTACCCTTTTGCTTCACTCAACCACTTTCCTCAGTGCAGAGCTTCACACCAATTACTAACACAGTTGATTAGCCGCAGTGTGCCGAGGTGTGACGCCTGCATTCTGCTGCACGTCACCGTCTTCTGACATGTGGTTCAAGTTTATACATAGCTTCTTGCCTGGTGAAAAGGCCACAGTTGCTATAGCAGGTCTTGTGTACTTGGTAAAGATGGGGGTTATTTTCTCTAAGGCCATATTCTTTGATTTCACCGCTTTCTTCGTTTGAAATTTAAGTCAGTTTTTTCCTCACTATTTGAATCAGTGACCTCCTGAGAGGGTGAGCAAGTGCAGATTCAGTGCTAATAACTTGCTTTTGTGAATGTTGACCTCACAAATCGATCAAGGGTCACCTCAGGTTGAGAATATGTTTCTGTAGAGCCCTTTCATACTAGAAAAAACCAAACTTCCTGTATTTTCCCAACAGGGTCAGTCTGACTTTTACTGATTTTTTTTGTACAGTGTAGGAGATGATGCACACTGAATGTTTTAATCAAGATGGTCATTTTGTGTTTAAAATGAAAATGTTGGTGAAAAATGAAATGTAAATGTGCCTCCTCCTTCTCCTCCTCTCCCTGACCGCTTCAGACGTTGCGAAAGAAAGGCTTTAATGGCTGCAACAGCCCCGAGCCCGATGGCGACGACTCCATCGACCAAAGCCCACTAACTGATGATAAGTTTCGCAAGACCGAGGACCTGGACAGCCTCTTCAAACGCTACGGCGTGAGTACCGTCAGACTTTTGTCACCTTATCTAACCTACCCTTTCTCCTCTTCTTCTTCTCTTCCTTTGTCTACCTCTTTCTCTCTGTCTGCCCTCTTCTTCTTTTGTTTGGGGAACGAAGGCTCTGAACAAGAAAGAGCACCGGGACTCTGAGAGCCCAGACCCCGAGGAGCCCTTCTCCCTCACCCCCCGCACTGAGGAGAAATACAAAAAAATTGACGAGGAGTTTGATAAAATGATGCAGAACTATAGGCTGTCAGTGAGTACCGCCCCCCCCTGTGTAACCCTGCCCCCTCCTCATGTTGTGCTGCCGCTGACCACACAACCGGAGGTTTTCCGGCTGCTGATGGCGGCCTGACTACTCACAGAGCACTTGCCTTCACCATTCCTCACCCCTCCACCTCCTCTGCTGCACCTTTTACCAGCAGCACCTCCCACCCACCAAATCGCTGCCCACAACCCCCTGTCATGGTGTGTGACTGAGCAGGAAAGGCAGGGCAGAGAGGCTGAAATGAACTTTTAAAACAAGGACAGTAAAAAATGATTGTTGTCACTTAATCAGTTAATAGTTTGGTTTATAAAATGTCACAAAGCAGTGCAAAAATGTATAGTTCCCAGAGCCCATGGTGATTTTTCCAGATGTCATGTTTTGTTCAACCAGCAGTCCAAAACCCGAAGATTCAGATTACAGTGGTATTAAACACATAAAAATCATTGCACCTTTACTTAAAACTCTTGTTCAGGATAAAAAACTTTATCCCATTGAGCCAATTTCAACTATAAACAAGTTGTATCTCAGCTTGTTTTCATTACAGATCTTGAAACCATCCTTTCTCCAAGACTTCTGAAGCTCAAGTATCACTTTTTCTTAATATTTGTGATGCCATGTGTCTTATTTCAAGACCATTTCTAGACTGTTTTTAAATAGAATTGTGTCACAATCCACCTGCGCTGGCACATTTAAATAAAAAAGTGACGTCTAGGACTCATTTAAGGTAAAAAATAAAATAAAGAAAAAGAAGACTGCCAATTATTCTGCCAATATGTACTGCAACTGTGTGAGTAAGCAGCCCTTAGAAGAAGTGGTGTACCACCAAATAGGGCATGCATTACTGTGATTATTCATCTTAAGTTATATTCATCAGAGTGAAGAGCATCCTCGGGGGTATTAGGGCTTTAATACACTGGTTCCGATGCTTCTTCAAGTTCAGTAATGTATGAGAATAAACAACAGAGGGAGAGAAGTGCTACCAGGTCCCTGATTTTCACTAAAGTTGGCATAGCAACCAGTACTGCGAGGGGAAATCATGCTTTATGGTAATAATCAACACATTCTGAGCGAGTCTTTGAGCAGTTGGGATGCTTGGCTCAAAGTACCAGTTGTGTAATACTTAGACAGATGTGCACCGGAGCTCAGTTCGTTCCTGACACTGTGCAGGTAACACATGCAGAGCCAGGGTGCACTGCTGACCTTCTGCTGCTGACAGTGGTCCTGGTATCAATGCAGTCCTGCTCCTCCAACTGGATGTGCTCCTGACATGGTCCAGGTTCTGTCTCCTGACTGGCACTCGGCCAAACCCCTTTACCACTTCGCTGCTGTGCCAATTTTTCTGAGATTCTTTTTTTTCCCTCAGTGCTCAATAATGCCATTAATGTCACTTTAATGAGTAGCACTCAATTTACAGCCCATCTTCCTGTCTGCCTGCTCCTCTGATTGGTCACTTGGGATGAGACACAGTCACACTGAGATGCTGCAGGAGAGTTAGACAGCGGTTATTGCTAAAACTATATACGCAGTGTAGTACCTTCATGGAGGAGTCTGTTTCTTTATCTTTACTCTACATCTGTCAGTAGTTGGTGTAATGTGGGTACATGTTCAGATGATAAGACGGGTTTTAAACTGTATAATGTATGTGCTAATACAGTGAAGCCTAGTTGAACTGGTAATATTCACTCAGTGTGCACTTTAGTAGGTGCACCTGTAAAATCTAATGTAATCTGATGTGATAGCTCAGCCATAAATTATAGCTTTACACCAGCGTCATTAAACTTTGGCCCAAATGAAGACTGGACATAGAACCTCAGATGTTCACCCAAAGAGGAGTAAAGCAGAACATGAAGGAACAGATGAAGATTCCTTCAATTCAGTCAGTTAGTCTCGTCTTTTTATTTATTGTGGTCTTTGTAGGGTTCTGTTGAAGGGTTAAAACAGCCCCAGAAGGGCCGTTATAATCACTTATGGTACAGTACAGTAGATCAGTCGTAACTGTTATGAGACCCAGGTGGTAAAAAGTGGACTTTTCCTTTAAAGTATAGCTACCACAAACCGTTGGCACTGTCTCAGATCCATTAGAGCAGGCCTAACAGAGAAAAAGAGCCACCTTCCAGCCTAATCAGCTCAGTGAATGTCTCTCCTCCTGAACTTGGCCCGGCCTCTGTCAGGCCCTCTGTGCTGTGTGAGCTCTGAGCTGAAATGGCTCTTAAAAGCTTTCTTCAAACAAGAAAGCTGCAGTAGAGGAAGAATACAATTCAATCTACCAGCCCTGGAGAGCTGCAGGTCTTGGCACTTGTCGACTGGATGCTAGCTGAATGCCACTAGTAGTAGCAGCCCCACTCCCATCACCACACTGTCCCTGTCTCTCAGCACACCTTTCACAGGGCACCAGCAAACAGAAGTATACCCCCCCACCCACCCACCCAAGCATCATAATCCCCAGCATGACAGCTAGGGACTGGGATATACAAGCTTAATCTCTTTATACTAAAGCACATCCTGAGACAGGTAGAGAGTGGCGAGGGAGGACGGGCAGGGCACTCGGCTAGACGCATCCCGAGCCAACGAGGTTACACTGATGAGGAAGAGGCAGCTTGTTTTACCAGAGGGTCTCTGGTTTGATCCTGTTCTACCTCTGAGATTCTGGGTCAGGAAATTGACTAAGAAACAGATTTGCTCCTTTAACAACTGGCTCCAGTTTGTGGCTCAGTATGAACCATGAGACGTGGTGGTACGCACAGGCTGCTTGAGCTGCACAGTTAGTCACATACAGTGTAGCTATTGATTTCATACCAAGTTCTTACATTTTGTCCACAGTAATGAAGCATTTAATTTTTCTCATAGTAACACTTACAGCAAATAATTAAGATAAAATAACAATTGAATCTGTAATGCAAGATGGTCCATAAAGTAAAAACTTTACCCTTAATTGTCAGGACTTGAATTTTATTTACAGAATGTGTCATTGGTCCAAATATCTCAGAGTAGGTCAGTTTGTTAGGGACCAAATTAGTATTAAAATTAAGAAATGCAAAAAAACATGTTAAGCTCTCTAACATTCACACAGTAAAACAAACTTTGATTAACAAATTCCCACATAATGTTTTGTTTCAGATGAGAGATTTTATAGCTAGCAGCAACTTTTTTTAATCACAGATTTGATGTGTTTATGTTTTAGAAAACTCCCTCTTTGCATAATCATTATTTTTGAAAGATTTAGTTCTTTTCAAAGATGAACAGCCACTTAATATGGCATTATAGTCCAGCTGTAGAACAGAGTCGACCTACTCTATGTTTGTAGAGTATAATCAGAGTTGGCCCGGTGCAATAATACTTCATCATACTCAGCACTGACTGGCTCTTATGACTGTACTGTAAGTATGTTTTAGGAGTAACAACCTTGGCTGTTATGTGGTTATTTGTCCAGCTGATTCTCCTTGCTGTTGCATTCATGTGTTGTGTCACCAAAATGTGTTTTGTAATTTTGCATTATGAAAACACCAGAAAAATAAGCACTGCTTTGAATAATTTGTGTTTGCAGCTGCTTTTGAAATAGGCAAGTTAAATTAAGTCAAATTAGCATCAAGTTATTCAAACTCTGCTGTTTGAGCTTTATCCAAATATTAGGAGAGTTGGAAAGGTGTCAGGGTGATAGAGGTATAGAAAAAGTCAACAGCTAAAAATCTATTTACTTCACCCAAACACTTCTCCGTCACTGCCTCTGTGCTCACATCTGTAGCTTCTAACAAATAGGATGCGACAATCCTGAAGTTGAAAAGGGAAAAAGAAAACTTTCAAAGGCTTCCAGGACAAGAGGGAGGGAATGGGAAACTAGGCCATGAGTTTAATTCATTCTGATGTACCCTTGCATGCAGGAAACACACCCTTGTAGAGAGCTCCTCCGAGGGAAATAGGTTAGCTTTCTCTCCCCGCTTTTTGTTCTCTTTACACAGAAGGGGCCTTGAGCCTCCTCCAAAAAAGGTCCTAGTCAATAATTTACCTAACAGGTTCTTGTGTTTTATTTGCTCTGTGGTTCCGTCCTCTGTGCTACATCAGCAAGCTGACGGACAGGGCCCAATTAACCCTACTGTCTGCTACTACAAGCATCTCTGTTAAACGGAGCTGGAGTGGGTAGATGTAAATTCACTTGTAATTTGCCAAAGACACGGAGTAATGCTCAGTGGAGCAGAGCAAAGCAGGGTGAGGACATTTCAAATTCATATTTAGAGAAGAAGTGAAGAGGTTTTAAAGTTATGCCACCGATCTCCTAGCAACCAGACACTGGCACCGTCATGGAGAAGCAGCTGAGAACCAGTTATGGTTAGAAATATTACAAATGGGCAATAAAAAGAGAAAGATACCTGAAGAGCATTGCTGAGGTGTGGCTGTAGAACACTTTCCATGTTGCTAAGAGTCAGCACAGGCAGTCTAAAGAAAGTTTCCCCCAGCTGGGAAACTGATGGCACTGTGGTTAAATATGTGAGCCGCCAAAATATGTACTGTAGATATGAGAGAATTAGGTGCAGCCAGGGTCTTCCTGCAGCAGAGCTCCACCCATCTAAGCGCTGTTTTACTAGCTGCCAAACAAACTCTGGAATATTTAAAAACAGTCACAAAATTTCAGATTGTATTAATTAGTTTAACTGTTCTAATATATTTTCTGTAAATTTTCCTGCTTTATGGTGTGGTGCTGCTAATACTGAATTCATTTTACATCAGCATTTTTTAACAAAACCAAAGTTGTTAATATTATTTAGGCATCCAGAACATCCCATAACTGGCACATTTGTGCATACACAGTTTGTTTTACATTTGTGCAACATAAAAAGAAAATAATGTAGAATTAAAGACATTGCACTCGTCAATCTGTGTGGCAGTTAAATTTTTTAAGACAAGACACTTAGGAAACTGTTTGTGTTCCAAACCGAAAGCCCTTCACAAAAAAGTAGTTTGAGAACATGGGCATCAACTCACCATCTGGTCCATTTAGTAGCAGTTCAGGAGCTTCTGATCAGACCACGTGGTCTTCATCGGCAGAGAGCGTTTGCCCAGTTATCATGACATTACAAGGACTTTATGGAAGTGTTAATCTGAAGTGACCAGAATAAAAGAAAATTTGAACACCTAAGTTGCATGGCAACTGGACCATCTGCTGATGAAGATCATGTGACGTGATCAAAAGCTCAAGTACAGCTCCTCGGTGGACCTCATGGTAACGTTGTTTTTTTCGGCTTCTGTCTCCAAAGTGACCGACCTCAGTAAAGCTTCAGTGTTTCTTGCTACATTACCGAACAAGTCACAAGTGAATGATTTAATCAAGGGATAAACACCATGTGGTTAAAAGATCAGGTCCCACGTTGTCAGTATGTTAGGACTGTGCTGCGTGTATTGTCCAAACAAGCAGGTTTGATTCCTGCATGTTCAGTCACAACGTCCTTCAGAAACGATCTCAGACCGTCCTGTTTGTTAGCTCCCCCCATTAAGAGCTAGAGCCTGAAAGAGTTAAACCCCTTCCTCCCTCAGTCCTTGGAGGTTAAATCCTTTCATGTGCTGTGTGCTCCGAGTCTACACACCTCCATTCCCTGTGCACTAACCCCATCACCTCCCCATCCATCCCTCCCTTTGCCCTCTGCTTGGCCAGTGTGCAGTGGTGCAGTGCTGTGAGCTGCTGTCTTCACCCACCCTGGTCACCACTTACACCTCTGTCTGTACGCTCATCTTTGCAAACTTCCTCTTTACACCCTGATGGCTGAATTATAAATCAGAGAGAGATGGAGGAGTCAGGGGTTCCTTTGTTCCGAGGCCAGACGGATCAGTTTTGCTAGTTTGACCTCGCTCTCTCTTTCTGCTTGAATTGACTTTGGCAATAAAACATTGTAAAAGGCAGGGCAGTGCTTCATAATACAGGAATACAGTTTTTAAAAATGTCCTTTTAAGATTTTTGTCTGGATATAACTGTGTAACCAAACCTAGTGTAACCTAGAGTCTGTGTGTCTGAGCAGATAATTAATGAATAATATATGAATATTCACTTGGGTTTGAATTGAAGGATTATTTTAAGAAAAGGCCCATTAACCAAAATTCAGATTTCTTACCAGTAAATATCCTTGGCCAAAAAACAGGAAACTAATTCTAAATGATTTCTTTCTTTTTGATCTTTTCACTCTTTTCTGTCTTTTTCTTTATTTCCTCCAAAAAACAAGTAACAAAACATTGCAGAAGTGAAACAAAGCAGAGATGGGGGCAGGAAGGTGCCCTCGTCCTCCTCTTCATTAAACTGGGTCCCATGCAGTTTGAGTAGAGTACAGTGCAGCGCTGGCCCATATTCTATATATAGAGGTCCCTTCTTTCAGATGGAGTTGGAACTGGGTGAAACGGGTCAGATGGCTGGACAAGCCGAGGTCCTTTGACCTTGATTTTTGGGGCCCATGGGCTGTCCATTCATCTGTGCTATTAGTTCAGCTCAGGTGACAAGGTGGGACATTAAAAAAATTTTAAGAAGTCCACAGGTAGAGAAAGTAGGCAGTGTTTGATGAGTCATTAGGGTCTTGCACAAGATGCTGAAACATTTTATTAAGTGAACTCCTGCACAAGTGTTTAACATGGAGGGTGACCTCATGCACTGCTGGACGGTTCCTAGCACTCTCCGTGATGAGCACATGCCAGTGGGGGTGGTGGGATGTGGCTGGAATGTGACATGCATGCTATGAAATGTCACCAGTAACCCACTGCTGCGACAAGCGTTTTAACCTGGCATGAGATGTGAAAGGCAACACAGCTTTTTAAGCCTTTCCACCACGTCACCTTGCATGCTAATACTGAGCAAGTGTGTGTGTGTGTGTGTGTGTATGTGTGTGAGATCATCGATATGTGTGTTTGGCTGGTTGAAGAGTTTATTTCCAAAACCCACGTTTTTACATTTTGAAGAAAATCCTTTTGCTAGCATTTCTAGTGTTTTCCCATATTTGATCATTTCCATATTTCATCGTACTGAATACACATTGCAAATACTTTGAGATTGATTTCCTGCTACAGGAGTGAACCTTGCCAAGAAAACAACAGGTGGCACATTGTTCACTGTGATGAATTACTGATCTCAAATCACTCAGGCTCATTTTTACACGTTAATGACATGAGCTGGAACCCATTACTGCCTGGAAGGTTGGAAATCAATCTGAAAATATATGATTTACTTTGGAAATTGGTCAGTAGTAATATAAAATATTTAGCTAATGAGAGGAAATATGTAAAACCTCTCCCCTTCAGTATGTAGTCTGTAGGATCCAGTAACTTGGGTTCTCAAAAATTCATTACACTACAAAAATCCCATTGTCTGCTGCTCTTAAAACAAGTGAGGCATCTGTCAGTGCAGGAGGAACATTCAGTCTGTTCCAACTGAGGTTTCATTTTTTTCAGGTACAGTGACCTGTTTAGTTTTTTTTGTAGATTAATGAAACAGACTTTTGTTTTTCAAAAATTCCTGGAACCTGTTTATTTCTGTTGGAAATGAATTTGAAATGTTCACAGTTCTGGCAAATTATGTCTCTGTTTTGAAGGTTTTTAGTACCTGAAATAATGATTTGATAAGTTGGTTTGCAGTGTAATGTTCTCTATAATGCTCTCTTACCTCTTAGAGAGATCATTTCAAATACAATTATTCTGCTTAAAGTTCAAATAGGGGATATTTACTAAGGTTTTGCATCTCAGTTGTTAAACAGATTCCACGGTTGTGAAACTTGTGTGTTTACATTTACTAAGGAGTCACGGTGGGGTTTTGCGCTGGAGAACCAGAAGAAAAGCAGCACCACAACACTTTGCATGTTTGGTCTCATGCAATATGTATTTTAAGCTATTCCTCTCCTGGGTTGCAAAATAAGGGAGGAGAGAATGGAAAGTTATAAAAATGCCCTCTGCATGATTTACCACTGTTGTGTCAGAGGGAACTGCGGCTGAAATGTAATGTTGGGAGAAAGCAGGTGTAAAGTTTGCGGCCCTGCTCTCAGCATGGCAGCTGCTAGTCATCTGAGATCTCTTTGGAGTTGAGAACACATTTGAGGAGTGAGAGGGTGTTTGTAAATGTTTGTAGGAAGACTGTGAGGGACTTTCAGGTCAACCCATGCTTCAGTTACTGAACGAAATAAAAGATGATTTGACTAGCAGGAGACTACGTGACTGCAGTTCCAAAATATGTTTGCCAGTTTTTTTGATGAGAAGCTCGACCTGGCTCTCATGTCTGTAGGCCTGATATAAGAATGTTTCCAAAAATGATAAACTCTACCTTTAATTCCAGAACATTTGAGATGGAACATGTTGAAATGATCACTGCACTGACAGGTTCTTTTACACTTCTGTTAAGAAGATCAGACAGTAGTAACTTGGTAAGATTAAAAATTTGACAGCACAAATCTTTATCCTTCACTTTCATGTGTTACTTCTGAGGTCACAGCATTCATTCACTCTACTGTAACATAAGTGTCAGGACGTCTTTGTCTTTACGCAGTATTTTTAAAGTCATCTAGTTTTGGAAAGACTCTTCTTGTTGTGACTGGCTGTTTTGCTGTGACTGCGTGCGTTTCACCCACGGGCTTGTTTGCACTAGCTGATCACCGTGCATTGCTGTATATATGTCTGTGTATTTGTGGAGGTAAAAAATCGCCACAGTCTAAGACCCCCTCCCCGTTTCTCTGCCAGTCTGCAGTCCAACAGCCCACCTTCTCCATGCCAGTGACCGTGCCAGTATCCAATCAGAATGTGGCGGCGGCCCTCCAGTTCAGCAACAACCCCGGTGGCGCCCTAGTCACCACCACCTCTTTTGTCACCTCCACACTCACAGACCCCCGCCTCCTGTCACCACAGCAACCATCTTTGCAGAGGAACACCGTGTCGCCAGGGTTACCACAGCGACCAGCCAGCGCAGGTAAGAGACAGAGTGAGACACAGTTGGACTACTGCGGTGCAAAGTGTTTCTGTATGTCGCCGCAGCATCATCGATAATCTCTGACATTTTCATATAAATAAACATCCAGCTGTTATACTCTGAGCTGCTGATTGATCCAACCAGTTTTCCATTTGCACTTGTAAACGCCAAGCAAACCGGTTGTCTGCTTGAAAAGTTCTGGTGCAAAGCAGCAACAGCAGTTAAACAGCAGTAAATTAAAGAAGAAAATAGCCCCACTGACAAAGGCCTCTTCAAAACAAAGACTTCAGAGTGCCGCCCACACAGTTTGATTGACAGGTCTACTCTGGTGGTATGAAAACAACATCAAGGAGACAAAAAGTGAAGAGGTTTGAATTTTTCCAAACCCGTCTCTGAACAGTGCTCCTGTGCCTAAATGTAAATGGAAAGTATTGTTGGTCTCATTAACTGAGATCAGTTTGTCACTCATGATTCATTTAGAAAGGAGTCCCTTTGCAGCCAGTTGGGACATGCTGTCAGTGAGAGTATGGTGTCATGACAGACTTTAAAAAATGCTGACACGTTGTATTTCTCAGTATGTGTTGATTCTGAGGAGTCAGTACAAACCCTCATCTTAATGAGGGAGTCACAGCTTGGCACCCTTTCTCGCATCCCCATATCCTACGCACCAGCTATGTGACTCAGTCTGAACACTTTTTAGAGGACTTTAATGTGACCTCTGCAAACTCTGCACTAAGTGTAGGTCAAATTCTGTTGCCCATTAGCAGCATCTGTCCACCCTCTGTATTACAGTATGTATAGTGTACATGACTCATATCCCTGTGGAACCTGCTTTTCCTCTCTCTCAATGCATTTCCATCATCTCGCCTACTTTTGTACAGTTTGTTGTCATAATTTTCCACCCTCTTTCTTCTGATATATGAAGTCATTGTAATTTTCTCCGACAGTTTGGAGATCTGTCTTTTGGTGACTTTCTAACATGTCAGAGTAGTGAAAGCTAAATGTTTCCTACCGCTACTTTCATAGGCATGGTTGTCATGGTGATGTAGTTAACCGAAGACATTTTTCATAACGTGTTACAGGTGTTATTTTTCTGCCCTCTGTCTGTGGAAGCACAGTTTATCTCCACAGTGTTATTTATTTATTTAACCTTTATTTAACCACAAAACCTCACTGAGATTAAAAATCTCCCTTTTCAGAGTGTCTTGGCCAAGACAGGCAACAACAGCAATCATAACAAACAACACAGATACAAACACTACTGATAAATTCATAACACCTTCCCATTAGTCAAACAAGCAGTTGATAATAAAAATAAATCAAAACCTGTAAAAAACACTGAGTCTAATGCACTAATGTGAAGCATAAAAAAATAGAATTAACAAACATCTTGACAATGGCAAGCACTGACTCCATACAGCAAAGCTTTAAATCTACCCAAGGAAACTACTGAGTGCAATTTTAGCTCCTTTTGCAAAGAGTTTGATGTATTAGAGTGTTTTACATGAAAGAGCCGGGTTGGGACAGAAATTTAGAAATTGTGTTCGGGTCTGGGTTGGGTTTGGACACGTAGGTCAAACCTCAGGCTGTATGGCTGGAACACTCAAATGTCTGCTTTGTTTGAGAAATGGAAAAACACCGTACAAACTCAAGTGCACTGGGCTCGTGTCGGGTTTGGGCATTATATGATATACGTAAGCTTGTCAGGCACAGGTCGAGTTCGACTTGTCAAACTTCACTGACCCATCCAGCACACCCTCAGCCCAGCACGCAGTGTTTTGAAAAACGTGTCAGCCGTGCTTCCAGACTATGCCGATAACTTCTGCACTCCATGTGTGTGTTTAACTGGATCTGGGCTGAATTATTTTTCAGGCTTTACTGATTGAGCTCTCTATATTCCTATGTGTGGCACTAAAATTTTGTTTGAGAGGCACTGGTCGGGTTTGGACGCCACAGTCTCAGGCACGGGTCGAGTTCGGACGCCACACTCTGAGGCACTGGTCGGGGTCGGAGGCCCCCCCGCCACACTCGCAGGCACTGGTCGGGTTCGGACGCCACACTCTCAGGCACAGGTCGAGTTCGGACGCCACACTCTGAGGCACTGGTCGGGTTCTTTGGACGCCACACTCTGAGGCACTGGTCGGGTTCTTCGGACGCCACACTCTCAGGCATGGGTCGAGTTCGGACACCACACTCTGAGGCACTGGTCGCGTTTCAACGCCACAGTCTCAGGCACAGGTCAAGTTCGGACAGAAAGATGCAGTTCGATCCATGCTCTACTGTGTATAAGGAGCAGCATAACAAAGGCTCACTTACCAAACTCAGTTTTAGCCTTTGGTACAGTTGACATTATCATGTGCTGTGATCAAAGAGCATAAGAGCTCCCAACTTTCCATGTGACTGCACAAGTAAGCGCATGTAAAAGGCCATGAATGGCTTTGTAAAAAAAATAATGTCAGTGGATGAGTTAAAGCAAAATGACCACAAACTGTGTTGTGTTGCTCCATCCAGTCTGTGTGTTCAGCTATCTGTCAGTCTGTGTAGCTCCTGTTTGCTCAAATAAGAGCACATTGCTTTATAATGACAGAAATCCATTCTTTCTTTGACTGAGGCTGCTACGCTCCTGCTGCCTCTGTGTGGCAAACCAATCCCTCACCCTCTGACTAAAGGGATTTGTGCCTCGTTTTTGCGTCTCAGACAAGGTTACTTATCAAGCTTTGTTCCAACCAGCTTAATCTCATTGTAAGTAAGAATTAGGTGATGTAATGTGCAACAAATGCATTACAGCATCTTTCATAACATGGCGTTCTCTGAGGCAAGAGGGTTTCACATAGCGGTAATGGACGCCCGCCTCTCTTCCTCCTCCTCATAACCTCAGTGGTGCACACACTCTGTTCTACCCTGCTACAGTGTGCATCCCACAGAGATGCACTGGGTTCATCATCTTTGCTTATTGGTGGTTTTCCATGCATCTTTCCTGTCAGAGATCTTCACCCCTAATGACCCTGACTTTCTGCCTTTCTGAAGAATGTTCGAGCCAAAAGCTGCATCTGTACCACAGGAGTGAAATGAAGTGTCAGTGCAGAAATATGCTGTGTGCCATTTGGGTAAAAAGGCAGAATAAAGAATTAAGATAAAAACATAGACAGGTTGTACTGTGCTGTTTAGGGACCAAGCGCATTAACATTTCAAATCTGTAATCATTAATTTTCCAAATGGATTTAGTGGTTTGGAGGCAGCGGAACAAGCTACAGACCCCAGAGGTATAAACATGTTATCATGCAGTTGCCTATTCGAACATTTGTCAGACACACAGCAACATTCCATTCACCTTGACTCATTTTTATGACCACTTCACATATGCAAACACAACACTCGCTTTTCTTTTAGCTCTGCTTTGGAAAACGACCCAACCAAAGTAAGAAGCTAAAAGACACTAAAACACCCTCTTAACCTGTGTTTTTTACAAGTGACCCCATTCACATTATACATAGCAATTAATATAGCTTTAAAATATTATAAATGTAGATGTAGCAGGGTTTTCACAGGTGTTTGAACTTCACTACTTATTTAAATGCATCTCTACTGTAGCACTGTCAAGTCAGGTATCAGAAATCACCACTGAATGACTGGTCAGTTGTTTTAGCAGTCGTGGTTTTTACATCTGATTGTTCTCGGTCTAAATCTGGATACCTTTCTATTTTTTTTTTTTTTTTTGACAGAGGTTCTTTATTGAATGCTGATGCATTAAGAGAAAAGACAAATATTGTTACATGTTCCCCAAAATGAAACTTTTTGTTAGTGACACCCAGCCGCAGTAGATAAAAACCTTATAAAATATCAATAAGAATAAAAGAAAAAAGTGGAAGTGTCTTGGTTTACTTTATATCTGAAGTAAACAGTTGTCTCACAGTTTGATTGAGAGTTATTCAAACAGTTCAGGTATTTAAAATGCTGACTATTTTGCTTCCAATGAGGATCATGCATTTTTAACAGTCTTATGTTTTAAATAGCTTTGACTGAACATCACTTTAAATGAGTCTGATGGTTTATGTAAGTGCCATTGAGAACTGGTGAAACCAGCATTTAGAAATTAGCTGTAAATGCAGAATTTAAACCAATTATGGTCCTTGACAGTGAGGAGTCGGTGTTGATAGTAGGATGACTTTTTTAATTACATACTTGATTCAATGGTATTTTTCAAAATGACGTGCACAGCATTTTAGATCAGAGTTGTTCAGATTTGATATGGAATCATCGTAGTGGTGCTGTGGTTAATGATCAGCCTGTGCTTTCCTGTGCCAGGTGCTCTTTTGGGAGGAGATTTGGGGAACTCAAATGGAGCGTGCCCGAGTCCAGTCCGTAAGTAAATCTGTTCCTTTCTCATGTTTCATATTTCGGAGAAGTGAGTTTTACGCCAATACACACACACACTACACAGCGTCGCCCTCCCTGCTCCTCTCTGCTTCTGTCTTTTAGCTGGATGTTTTGAAAGAAATGATTTTTGACTCTGACTAACAGACAGAGCGATGTAGAACATTTTGTGCATGGAAACGGGCTCAGTCATGTGTCAGCAACTCACAGACTTGCACACAAGCACGAAAGCACCTGTTGACCGGCGACAGCTGAGGGTCAGAGTACAAGCTGCTTGTACATAGTCCAAAGAACAGAACGGGTTTCAGGTTGAGAGAGAGAAACCGGAGGAGAGAGCTGGTAAAGAGGAACCGGCACCGACAGAAAATTAACAACATAAAACTGTTGTTGTGATTGTGACATGATGAATTTCTTGAAATGTGACAGTATTACTGGTCTGGTGTGCACCAGCTGTCAACCACTGAAATTCAGTTCAGGGCTTGTTGTTGTCATTTATTACATGAATATCAAGTGTTCAGCTCTTATAATGAAACTGAAATTATTTCATTGTGAAAGTGAAAGTGCTGCTGTTCATTGCTCCTAACAAGTTAGTTCTGCAGGTCATATTTTTCACTCTCACTCTGAGGCCAAAGGCATTAAAGGGGCACTCCTTCTAACCCACAAAAACATTGGCTCACTTGCTGCTCTTAGAATGTAGCCCCGCAATTAGAGATATGTATCACACAGCAGTGGGTGTGATTCAGGAGTCCAAAACCAAGTAGGCTAAACACCTGGAAGCAGTCACATCTGGAACTGATTTAAACTGATGAAACTACAGTAGGAGTCAGTTAGCAGAGTCAGTGATGTCAGATTTTTACTCTAACATCGACACCAAGTTTAAGAATCCTACTATCAGTCAGTTCAGCTCTGCTCAGCTGCCTCCCCCACTTCTCTCTAGTCTCACCCCCCCCCCCCTCCCTCCCCCTTCTGTCCTCTCTCTCTCAGCTGTTCCCCCTCATCGCCTCTCTAGAATAATCTCCTAGCCCACCCCTCCCACCACCGCCACACACCCCTGTCCAACTGTCCCTTGTGTTGGCACAGGACTCTCCTCAGAGGTGACTTTGACACTGGTCAGAGCTCTCCCCTTAAATCCCATTAGCCAGGACGGATACTGTCAGCCAGCCTGTAGTAATAGATACAGAGGGAAGGCATGTTTTTTCTCTCTGCATTCACCTGATAAACTCATTGTCTCAGGGTATGGTGGGGCAAAAGAAATCAATGCATTTATATTAACTTGGCTGCAGTGTATCAAGAGAAATACTCCAGAGCCAAGTTTCAATATTGATATTAGTGCAGAAGTGTTGTTTCTAGCCATGGTGTAATTAGTCAAATGCAGACTGGTAAAGACGGAAGGTCAGATCACTACATTTTGGAACATGATAACATCTCATCTTACAAGCACAGTATTCAGTATAAGTAGAAACATAAATAGAAAGGGAGTTGCTCATTTTCTGGGCATTCCTTGGCGGAACACTGTGCTTCTGACATAGTTGTCAGCCTGTGGGAAACATCCAGCTCAGCCTTTGACTGGAAAAAAATGCATCACTGGCATTTTTCTGTCACATTCTGTGGTTTTCTTTTGTGATGTTCATTGATTTATTTTCACATATTAAAAGTCAGAACATTATGTGGCTGCTTGTTATTTTCAGCTGACATATGCAGCCCCTCCCCAGACTTTGTTTGAGATGTTTGTTCTTGCAGATTTTGAAAAAAAAAGTATATTGTTGACTGTGGGGTTTGCTCCAATCTGGTAATTCCACCAGGTTTTATTCTTTGTCCTGACACTAAATAACGTGTGCAGAGAATCAAGGAGGGCGGTAATCTGATTGGCTTTTAAGGGTCAAATAAGCTCAGCAGCTTTGCCTTTACCAGCAAACTGTCTGCATGTAGGTTGAAACAAGCTAATCTTTTCTGTGTCCGTCCATTCCATTCTCGTGCACAATATCTCTGGAACGTCTTGAGGGAATTTCCTCAAATTTGGCACAAACCTCCACTTGGACTCATTAGATTTGGACTGATTAGATTTTGGTGGTCAAAGGTCACAGTGACTTTGTGTGTGTCCCATTCCCATGAATTTGACTGGTTGGCAGAGACACACGGCAAAGTGGTAATTGTGGTTCAGAAGCATCGTACTAGGATGTCTTGTTTTGTCTCACTAATGCAGTTCACCCTGGATGAAGGTTCCTGTGTTTGCAGTGACATATCTGCTGGAAGACTTTGGACCATTAACCAGACTTGCTGTGTTAAACTGGAGCTGTGCTCTTCAGCAAATCCAGGAGCCGTTTTATTGATTACTGAGGGGAAGTTGACAAAACAGAAGTAAAGTGTGGCATGTTAGAAATGAATGTGTCTCATTGTGCAGCGGGATGGACTCTGCAACAGCTGCGAATGGCTGTATGGAGGAGATGATTGCTGTGCTTTGGTCTGGTGGATTGTGGCTGTCAGGATCTTTGCAGCTCGCTGTAACAGAGTCATGACTCCTTTCTATGTCAAAACATGAAACCTCATCCCAGAACACAGCTCAGGTGACCTGATCCACTCGGTTGCCTGCCCCCCTCCTACCTCCACTCCCTCTGTTAGCTCTTTTCCCTCTGTCTGCCTCTTCTTCTCTCATTTTCTGCCAGTTTGCTTCTCAGCTCCTTGTCCTTTTCTTTCTCCTCTAAACCTTCACACACCCCGTTTCTATCTCGTTTTCTCCACATCCATTCTTCCTCAGTCCTGTTCCCCTATCTCCTCCTCCTTTCCACTGCTGCCCTCCTCTACTGCCTTCATCCCCTCTCTTTCTCCTCCCCTCCTCCTCCTCTCTTGGATCTGTCATTCTCAGCTGTTGTGCAGGGACTCGGGGCTCCGGGAATGTCACCATTGACGTCACCCAGCATTCCACACATTCCCACGCCCAGTCTCACGTACTAGGAGCCATTGCACACACACACACACACAAAGGCACACGCACTCATGCACAGAGAGGAGCACATGTAAAGGCCAGAGAAAAGTACACACAAACAGTCACCATCTATAAATGAAGCCATAGATAAATTTCCATCTCTGTTTTGTAACTCACTCGCACTCAGAATAGGAGCACACTTAGTGTAATCATCAAACGCATACTGTACAGTAAACACGTGTACAGTATTAGGATGCAGCCATCTCACCATTTGTTGTCCAACATACAGGGGCCAACTTTTTATTATATTTTTAACAAACTGACTTAGTCTGCTCAGACCTAAGTCTCTCTTTTTGTGTCAAATTCTAACACTACATTCTCCTTAATGAAACTAAAGAAGAAGAAGATTTTTCCAATAAAATTGAAGTGATTAGTTGAAAATCTTCTTCTTAAATATCTGAAGTTGGTTAGAGGAACATTCCACCTCCAACAACCTCAAACTATGAAATTATTTTGTGCAGAAGCAGGTTTTTAAAGGTCAGTTCACCCAAATAAAAAACAGCCACATTTTTCTATTATGAGAGATCAGCCTCTGAGATTCTGAAATACAACAGAGATGAACGTGATTTTGTCTGTGTTATCGTTAACATTTTCTTCCAGAAACAGTGTAGTGGTTGCTTTAAAAAACCCACAGAGCTCACTGCTGACAAAAGTAGATGCAGGGAAAACATTCCTCAGTAAGTGTACGCATAGTAAGGAGTACCAGGGTTACAGGGCAGATAGGTTATTGTTTTTACAAGTAATTCTTCAGAACTTCAAACATCAAAAACAAAATCTAATTTGATCACCTCCACTGTATTGGGTGGAGGGCAGAAAGCGATATGTCCAAACCTCAGCAGAGCAGAGTTGGACACATGCTTCCATGCCTGTCAAGCAACAACTGAGACCTTCGGTTTTACAGCGGTAAGTAACAAAAGGACCTTTGAATGGTACTCATCAGATCCCCCCACGTTGTTGTGCCACAGGATATTTTTCCACAGTTTACCATTGCACTCCGAAATCTGCTCACTCACTTTCAAGCAGGATGCGTATCTGAGGAAAATGACATGGCAACATACACATATGCATGAAAAGTGTACATCTGTGAATTCTGGTAAAATCACACAGATTGTCAACACGCACAGATTTCTTGACTGTTTATGTGAGGGGACTGGGTGTTTGTTTGAGGGCACCTGCAAAACATGTGCATGTGAGTCATGCTCTGTGTGTGTGTGTGTGTGTGTGTGTGTGTGTGTGTGTGAAACTCTCTGGGGTAACCACAAAGCCACCACCCTCTTCCTTGACCCGCAGACATGAACACAGTGTACCCAGCTACAGATTCCCATCAGTCAGTGACACTCATGTGCATGTTGTACAACACACACACACACAGACACACACACACAGGACAAGAGGATCACAGAATTTCCCAGAAGCAGGATGCAGGCGATGCCTCCCCTCTCTCTTCTTTTCTTGTTTACTTCTGCTCTCATCCCTACTTTCTTCCCTCCTTCACTGCCCCTTCTGCCATTCCCTACCTTGTTTCTTGCTTCCCATGCTCCTCCCTTCTTGCCTGTTCCCTACCTACTTTATTTACTGCTCAGCATAATTTCGGTTTCTTAGCCCGTAACTTTTCTCAGCACAGCTCCCCTCTCAGAACTCTTATCTTTGTCTGGCCTGTGTCCCCCCCTCACACACACACACCTTCAGATGCCTTCATGCCTCACTTGATCCCTCTTTTCACTGTGTTTTCCTTCTTCCTGCTTTACATTCCCTCTCTTCTGCTGGGCTGATAACAGAGGTTGTGTTGTTGTCAAGTTTAGTTTATGGGTTGTGTGTACACTATGTGTGTTTCCTTGCTGTACGTGTGGCTGAGATGAAGCAGAGTCACATGCCACTGTTGTCTGGAGGCAGTGTCATGGAGAACCGCTATCAGCTATCTTGCACACACCCTGGCTCTGCCTGTCCAAGGGGAATGCAGCCTCTGTGTGCATCGGGGCTGGGAAAGTCCCTGCTGTCCCCCTTTTATATGCGCTGTGACTCGGTCTCTGTTTGAATCAACTCTTGTTTTAACCTTGGCAGCACGGACAGGCTGCTGTCTGCTGGAGCTTTGTTGTCATGACACCCATATGCAGTGTATAAAAACATTCTTGTCCAGTAAGCCTTGAACTTATAACACAGAAGTGCATCACTGAGTACAAAAGTATGAAAGATAAAGGTATTAAAAACAAACAGAACATTAACAAGAAAAATGCAGGTATTGTTTGTTGCAGAGCAACTGTTGCGTAGGAGTTTGGAATTTGACCAGTCATGCAGCTTCAAAGGAGGGCGCGTTCAACCTGCCGTGATGTTGGCTGTCACGCTGCTGGAATTGACTCTGCAAAACACAGAAAGAAAGAGAGAGCAAATGAGCTGTACACTGCAAAAACGTCTTTAATATTATCTAATATTATAATAATATAATATCTGAAATATTATCAGATATGTCTGGTGATATTTTTCTGTGCCACAGCTTCATTGTTGTGTCAGTGAGCTGCACTGTTCACTGGGTGACATGTCCTTCATTACCATAAACACACACACACTGTAGTTTATTTTGACTCAGTCCCACATGCACCGTCCAGCTGACACAAATATTTACTAGCACACCAAACGTGGATTAATCCACTGCTAAAAATAGTCCCCAACAAATGTGCTATATCCCCTTGTTAGAGCAACATTTCCTAAAAACTACAGGGATGGAAATTACCAGCCCTTTTTTTTATTACCAGTGTGACTGTATATTTGTATTTTTAAATATTTACATTTAAAATAAAAATCACTAGACTTGGAGCTGAGAGGCCTAGACGGGAGAGACAGGCTGATGCACAAGACTCAGTGGCTTCATAAAAGTGAAAACTGACTTTATAAGGAGGATTTTTTGCACTCTAAGATGGAAGGAGTCCAGGGATGTTAGGGTATGTTTGTTTTCATCAGGTGCCACGTCAACTGGCACAAAAGATGTAGAGACAGAGTGGAAATCAAATTGTTCCGAGACTGCATGGCACGGTTTTGATGTGGAAGAGCTGCAGAAAATCAGAGTGGTGCCATCAAACACCGTGCGAGGTGCGGAGACAGAAGAGCATGTGGTGCGACTGAGTGATCCAGCTCGCTAATGAGGATACACAGGCAGACATCAACACACACACCACGCACAAAGAGTTGAACATGCACAGCCAGACAGATAGTTCATAGGTAGATACACATACTAGGAACATGAAAGCAAGCACACAACCTCCTCCATCCCTCGCTCTTCACTAATCTCACTCTCGCTCTTTCTGTGTCTCTCCAGCTAATGGCTACATCAGTGCCAGGGCCTCCCCCGGCCTCCTCTCCGTATCCAATGGCCACCACCTGGGGGAACCTCCTCTCCGTATCCAATGGCAACAGCCTGGGGAAAGTAGCCCCGGCTAAGTCTCCACCTCCACCTAGCCCTCAGATGGTCAACAGCCGCAAGCCGGACCTGAGGGTCATCACCTCGCAGAGCGGCAAGAGCCTCATGCAGCTGGTGAGGTGAACACAACTACGGCAGCCTCACAGGGACAAACAGTGGGTCAAAACTGACAGAGGACTGGACAAATGTGTACTCCGAGCTGGTTTTAGGATCACATTTCTGATTAAACCTCAGTAATGTGCCAGAAGCAGCAGTAAGATCCAAGTAGCTGGTGACAGATGCGTTACAGTATATAATTATTTGTCAGATCAGCTCGATGTGACCAGAGCTAGTCAGTAATCTATTTTTACTTTTACTTGTTATGCTGATTTTGACATTCTCTATTAATACAGCGGACCTCATGCAAGAGCCACATAAAGAGACTGACACATTTGAGGGATGTAAGAGAATTTTCAAGTTATCTACAGATAGTCTGTTTGTCTCTGCAGGGGAAAACTGATATGAATTGCATGTAGAATACCAGTTACAACGCCTTAATCTGAATGAATTTTGCCATCTCTCTTTGGGCATGAAAATACTGTAACTGTCAGCCTCCGAACACTGCCTCCCAATTTCATGCATGTCATGATCCTGGGCAACATCCTCTGTTGCACCCGACAGTGTAATACCATGGAATGTAATGCTGTCACGTCCCCTTGACCGCCTCCCGTTTCAGTCGTGGTCTCTCTGCTTTGACAAAACTTTTTTTGGCATCTGAGCTGATGCTAAACTGTTCCATCTTTATTTCTGTCGCAGTGACACAGCAGCAACAGCTGCAGTGATATTTTCTAATTGTTTTGGGTCTGACTACTGACACTGCTAAGTTCTGACTGTGGGACTTGAAGCTTGGCAGTGTTAAAGTTCTTTTTTGTGTTGGGTTACATTTTGTTTATATTACAGTAACTTGCCTACAGAAGCAGCACAAGTGGCCACCTTATAAAGTAATTAAAAGGCCCTGATGTTGCTGATGATAACAGCTCTCACACACCCACTAATGAACCACTGGCATTCATCCAGTTAAAATTATACAACAAGTTTGTGCAGGTAGAGTTTGATCAGGAAGAGCTAGATGTTTTGGTAAGGACACGGAAATGTTCTTGCATGAGGCCTGTTGCAAAGAGAGAGCTAGATTTCTTCACCCTTTGAATCCATGTCATACTGCATCCATTTATCAGGTCAAAGTTTAATTAGTTTTTCTATTTTTGTTTTGAGTTATCAATATGAAGATTATTGGAGAGACTGCCGTTATAAAGATAATGATCAGGTCAATTTAAGAATGAAAGCTAGGCCTTTTTTGACATCATCTCTATAATTGCCTCCAGGTTAAAGATGGCTGCCTTCTACACATCAGGTGACTGAGATTTCTACAGCCAGTAATGTCTTTTAATCAATATGTAGTGTCAGCAAAGGCACCATGTGTGCAGACAAACTCCAGGCAGACTCCAGTCCTTCAGTCAGCCGTCGATCAGCTGTGCTGCACTTTGACTTTATGGTTGAGGAGTTGACTCGGCTGCTGAAAACTAGAGGCCCTGTGTTATTAACCGTACTTCCGTCCTTTTTAAAGTATGTTCATACTTTACTGCAGTTAGTTGTTGTAGGAACGTAACCATCCTCTGTTTTTCACCTCCCCTCCTCCACCGGCCATGCAGACAGAGGAAGAGCTGGAGCTGGTGAGTGAGGTGAATAGACTTCTAGATTTTTAGCCCCATGGATGTGGTGTCAATCTCTGTGTGATCTCACTAGCATGAGTGTGACACCGTCAGCAAACACACCCCGGCAGGATGGACTCAGTGGCACGGTGCTATGACGAGGGCAGAAACAGAGCTGTTATAACGTCAGAGCACACGGTGAACTCAGAGCAACACACAAACATCGGACAAGTCACCTGGTTGCACTGGGTCCTGGAAGATTGGGACTTTTATATTACTTTAACTTGATGCTTTTGTCCAAACCGACTTACAGTGAGTGCGTTCAAACCAAGACTATGATGTCACCAAAATGTTCAGTGCTACAGTCCAGACCGGTTGTGAAAAAGATGGGTTATTAGTGGTGGAAGATGGACAATTACGCCACTTCCTGTTAACACAATTTTAAAAAGAAAATAGATTTAAAGCATCAGTCAGACAGACTTGCTACCTTACAAAAACAAAAATAATAGATTGAAGAAACAATCAAATCCTTTGTCAAGGAAGTAAAGCAACTAAATGTATTTCCCCAGGTCTCTCCTTTAAGACAGGACTTTTTTACTTCAGGAACAGCTCTGAGAATAAACACATTTCATACATGAGTGGGTGTCAAACCCTCAGCTCTTAGTGAATGGCTCAAGTGAACTGACATGTAAATGCACTTCAAACCCAAAATTAAATAAAAATACTGCTCAAGCTAATCTGAAATTTGAATATATTGAATTCACTGCCATTTTTTCCAGCTTCATATCAGACATTTCTTCTGTTAAATATTTTTTCTCTTAGAAGTTAAGCATTGTTGCATTTTGTGACATATTTTAAAAGTGATTTTGACGGGAAACACAAAGTATTTCTGGTACAGCAGAGCGCAGTTTAAAGTGATACTGTGTAGCACGGAGACCCTGTAGAGCGGAAACACTGAGGGAAGCGGTGCAACCAGCCAACTGTCTGCTGTGTCTGCAGGCTGCTCAGCATGTGCATGTTTGGTTTCATCTGAATGTCGATGCTCTGAGGATCAGAGTGAGGACAGACCTGAGCACACAGGGACCTGTGGGAGGCCCACACACTGACCTCTGCAGTCCTCCGCACACACATGCATGCTGATGTGTTCATGCATATTTCTCTGCATAAAAACACACACATCTCACATTGTGTGTTCATTTCTCACAAACTTCTCTGCGCACATTTCCACACATACAGTTTGAATACCAACTTGCGCACGCTCATCTCTCCTCTGTCAGCCCTGTCGATGCATGCATTCCTGTCAGCATGATTCTCTACCACAGCGACGCCTCTCATAACACCTTCCACCGTGACGCCACACAGCACAAGCGCCCGGCCCCGGCAACAGCGTTGCCGTGCCAACGCCACCTCGAGATGCTAGACACTTCTCATCTTGCACGCTGATGTTAAAAAGTGTTGCAGGAAAATTGAACGCCTCCGAGACAACGGAGGTGCTTGGATTTTCTCAGAGGGAGAAAAAACACATCTGTCTTTTCATGAAGAACAAAACGTCTTCCACTGGCTGTAGTTATTTGGCCTCAGTTGGATTTGTGTTGGAGTATTTTAACAATAAGACTCCAAACATGGCAAGAAAACTGAGGGCTTAAAGTTAATCAGTTGCTGCACTTCAGTGTCTAAAGCAGAGAGTCAGATTAAGTCATGATAGTGTTTTCTTTTCAACTAGAAGAACGACAGTTTCCAGTGAAACATTTCAGCATTAACAGTCTAATTAAATTCTTCTCAGCCACATTACAGGGTCTCTGCATCCACTCTGTTGTACAGTGGAAAGCACATGGAAACCATTATCATTATTGCTGTTGAAAATGGATGAAGTCATGTGCCGTGACCTGCTGCAGTCTGCCCTTATAAGGAGAAACAAACTTGCTGTGGAACTGGACCAGGTTTTCTCACAACACAGAGCCATGACACTGGATCCAAAGATCTAGGAAAGAAAGGGTTTGGCTGTAAATCCTAGATGGCTGATCAAGAAAATGTACTTTTAAAGTATATGTAAACCAGAATTTCTTAACTTTTGACATCAAAGTTTTCATATATAATCGTATCAGTGCAAGATTCAAAAGGTTTTGCATGAATTAACACTGTGCACAGAGGAGATGCAGATATTGTACTGAGAGTGAGTTTTCTACATCCTTAAACTGGATAAGTTTTTGTTTTTTAAATCCTGTATTTAGCTGGAGACCCCCTTGAACACTATCTGGCCCCTGAAGGCCCCCAGACTCCATCTATAGGACTACTAATCTCCTCTTCAGCTTCCTGTGCCTCAGTGTTCAACTTCCTCCATCCGTCTCTTTGTCTTCCCAGAATGCTCAGCGGCTAGGTGGATCTCAGGTGGCGCAGACACTGACCACACCAGTGGTCTCCGTGGCAACACCTAGTCTCCTAGCGCCCTTCTCCAGCATGCAGACGGCCTACAACACTGGTAAGACAGTGACGGCAGCTCAGACTGAATCTGTCTGTTCACGTCAATTCAGGAAAGGAGCTACCGCATCTGCTATAACTGAATGTAAACAGATCTGGAAAAATGAATCATGAAGTCACATAAAGATAGAGTCTGCATTATGTCATGAATAGTGTCATAAAAATCTTGAAATATTAACAGTGTGATGTCACAAACCATTATGAATATTCACTTTGTTCATTGTGTATGAGCTTCTGGAATGATTCCACTTCAGAGATCCCCATTAATATGGATTAGCCCTGATTAATATTGATGCAGCAGAAAGTTGCATGATGTAAAACAACCCCCCTCCCCCTGCCTCTTCACCTCCTTTGTCTGTCTGTCTCCCTCCATCCCTTAATCTCAGAGTACCAGCTGACGAGTGCAGATCTCACAGCGCTCCAGACGTTCACACCACCAGGGCTGGTGCCTGGCAACATGGCTGCCTGGCAACAGCAACAGCAACCAGCAGTCTCCCAGCAACAGCAGCAGCAACAGCAGCTGAGCTTGGCATCGCTCAGTAACTTGGTGTAAGCTCCCTTTTCTTTCTATAACAAAATCAGAAACGAGTTACTAATTTCCTGACCTTTGACCTTTCCCCTTAAACGCCCAACCAGTTGACCAGTTTGTACTAGTGCTGTGCCTTTCAGCTGATTCAGCCATAACACATGCACATTAAACACCTGAGACACGTCTCCCATACGAAGCTATAGCAACACCCCGGCTGCGGTTGATTCATCTCTGTGGTGACCTAGATACTCCCCACCCCCCGCTCGGCTCTGACTCCCACTGGAGTCCCACTCTGTTGTAGCTCCTGGTAGAGAGGCTAGGCTGCTAGCTGCATTATCCAGCACATAGACAAACCCAGTGAGAAACTGTTCAAGCTGGAGGGGCTCATAACCTCAAAACAGTAAGTTCTCACTTTGCTCTTTTTAATCGGGTCCAAAGTTCACTCCTGGTTCCAGGCATGCTACAGCACCTCAGGACAACAGGTCTCAGTACACATGTCCCGGCAGGTTGAAGGAGACGCAGCAAAATGAGTTGTATGCAGATGAATCTGGCCCTGCCCTGTCAGTCACATTTGTGTCGTAGCATTTCCAATTTTGCTGCTAACCTGAGGTGAATGACATGATAGCATCCGGTGCTGCTGTTCTGTTGCTCACAGACTCAGCTATGAGCTACACTAACAAACTAACCCAAAGAGATTTCAGAATAGCCATGACATGACAAACATGACATCAGACCATCTTTTCTTTCCATTTGTATGTTGGATGTGATGCCTGTTGTCGCTTTGCTGTGTCTGTACCTCACTGCTCTTTCAGCTCTGTTGAAACAGAAGCACATATGATCAATTTTCTGGCGTGTTTGTAAGAGTTTTCAGGCCACCTTCAAGCTTAGATCTAAAGCTCTTTGGAAGCATCACAAACACAGAGGAAGACGCAGCCGTGTGCCAGTGACAGCATCTCGTTACATCCTAGAATGAAAGTCATCTCTGGGTGCTTCTTCCATTCCCAGACACTGAGCCAGTGCACAGCTGTGCACCACCGACATGCCTTCTGCATTAAAATTTCACCTTTCAGCCATTTGGCTGTCACTCTCAGCTGAGTGTCAGATACACATAGGCCTGAAATGACTACAGTGGCATGACTGAAAAGAAGAAACGCCGTCAAAGCCGGTTAATTGTTAACAGGCTGTCGGATCTCATTGTGGTCGTTTCTGGTTTACATACTGAAATAAGCATTTAACAGCTGCAAAAACTCTTAATGCTGATCTCATTTTGTTCAGAATAATCACAGCTACAATTGTATCTCAGCATAAAGTTAATTTAAGAGACTGTGCAGCTGCTCATCAGAGAAAAGGAAATTTAAAAATAGCAGAAATGTGTTAAAGACACTTAGAATAATGGCAGCTGTCAGCAGAGAGACTGTTATTTGTTTCTCTGTCTGACAAGCTGAAAATTGTCCTTGGAAATATGATAATAGGTTGTTTGTTATTGTATACAACAGCTGTGACTCCGGGGGCTGAGCAGCTTTGAAAAAGCAGTATATAGTTAACACTCGCTGCCAGCTCGCACACAGCAGAGCTCCTCATATCGCCTTGTAAATGTTAACAAATGGCTGTCCAGATTGTATGAAATCCTTCAGGAAGCAGATGAGTTAACCCACTCAGAGACTCAGCCAGAACTCACTTTCCCTGCTGAGAATTAGCTCCAACAATCCAGTGACAGCTTCTCTGGGGTTTTTTTTTTCATATCGCCAATATTGTTAAATTATACAGCAAAATACTGTAGGTCTTCAACAAATGATTATTTTTATTATCGATTCATCTAGTTGTCATTTCAGGTGCAGAATTTTAGTGAAAGAAATGCTGATCACCAGTTCCCAGGGCTGTGTATTTGTCAGCTAAACTCAGTCAGATGAAATTTACAGTGAGTTAAAACTGAGAAAAGCAGCAAATCTTTACATTTGAGAATCTTGAACCAAGTGAGTATTTATTGCTTTTGCTTGATGAATAAGTGAAACAGTTATTTAATTAACTTACTGACTAATCTGTTAATCGACCGTTGTTTCACCATTAAATTACACAACGTACATTCATTACAATTTTGGCGTCTATATTTTCATATTTTCTTGCACACAATAAGTTGAACAGACAAATTTGATAACAATCAAAACATTTAAACTAGATTTTAAACAAAAATTCCTGGTTCCAGTTTATCAAATGTTTAGCGGTTTAGCGGGTGTAGATGGATAATGTAAAAAAACCGTTGCTTGCTTCCCTAGTTCTGAACATTTCACTCAGAATGTCTGTTGTGCTTTAAAACAGTCAAGATATTTTATAAACACTGCAAACAAAGATTGTGATTTTACTGAATAGGCAGGATTTTTATCCACAGTCGTGCAGCCAGATGTTGGTTGTGGCAGGGTTTCAGCTCCCTCAGGTCTGACACTAGAATGAGCACCAGGCAGGTTTTGTGTTGTGTGTGTGGGATCAGAACGACAGAATCGCTGTCACTGAAAATAAACGAGCTCCACAGAAATGTGGGAAGCTTTCCCAGCACACCAAACTGTTCTCTCGCCACAGCGGAAAGTCGTGCCGTCCTAGTACAGCATGGGCAGACGTGGGCACTTCTGCAGCCCAGGCTGCTCCAGTTTGCTTTTGATTTCATCACAGTGCGGCCTCACGGTGAACGAACAGGCCCTTCCAGTCGAAATGTGATTGACAGTTTGGCTTCGAGCCTCGCCTTCGCTGTCATCCACACTTTTCCTCACCGGAGGCTCCTTGAGGAAATGGTTTCTGTCGTCTTACCCTCTCCAATCCCCCCCTTTTAATCAGTCCTCTTCCTCTGCTTCTGTCTTTCCACTTATGTCCTGCTCTTTTGTCAGGCTCAGTTAAATGTGGCGTACACCTGTTGGCTCTGATCCCACCCACACTCCATCCCACCCCAATCTAAATGTTAATGTCACTGCTGCCCCTGAAGCAGCTGCCCAGAGCCTCACTATCTGCTTGTTTGTCTGTTTGTATAGATTTGCTCTCCGGAAGCAGTTTGCTCTTTGTTGCAGGACATGTTGTAGTTGTTTGTTTTCCTCACTGAGTCGACATGTTATCAGCAGACGGCGCCTCCATTTGGGACACTTTAGCAGGAAATGAACAGAAGAATTTTTAGAGACGCTGTCTGCTGGTGCATCAGTGTTGTTTTGTCCATTTGAGCCATCCATTTATGCAGCTACATCTCTTTCTGTATTGAGCTTACAAGTGGATAAAATGCTTTATTTGTGGCTGAAGTTGTTCATTTTGTTCTTGTTTTTCACCCACAAAAACACCCGTTGTCCCTCTCTAGCTGGGTCGCCTCCCTCTCTCAGCTCTGGTTTAAGGGAAAAAAACATTTGCAGACAGTACACACATTGCTAAATTGCTTACAGGACACACCGTGTGTCGGTTCGGCACAATGCACGCATACACCGTCAGGGGTTGTTCTGTAAGACCTCTCTGCGGTAGCCAGACTAGAAACCACAGTGTGAAAACCAGCTGAGGCTTCATTAAGCTTCCTGCTACCTGAAATCATAATGTTAAATTTAAGAAATTCACATTTTATTTAGTTCCAACCATATAACCGGTTTACTTGTCACAGTGATATAAGATGTTAAAACACATGCATGCAGATACAGCACCAAAAATCACTGCTTCCCAGTACCAGGCTGATTTTTGGAATCAGATGGTCCCAGCGTTGGATTCCTGCAAATAAATAGTGATTTCACTTACCATAATAAAAACAGCCAGTGTGTTTAAAGATATAAAGGCCTGGATGAACAAAAAGTAGAAAAGCTAAATTAGCTGTTTTAGTTTTTAGACCAGTCACAGTCTGAAATGCTCTACCTGAGAGTTTCCTCTATATCCTTTTGCTGACAGTCTGCACTGAGAAGTCCCATTGGTCTGATCCCATTTTAAGGAAAGCCAAAGTTTTCAAGTTTATTGGAGCTGACGGTAAAAATGCATTGCGTGTGGACGACTGTCAAATTCAAACACTTCCCGTCGTACCCTGTTCTCTGACATCTCACGTGGCTGAAGCAGCTGTTGAGCCTTTTGTTGTCGGTAGCACCAAGTCTGGGCCGACCATCGCTGGCCTCCGTCCCACTGTTTCCCTGCTGTTTTAGCTTCTTTTAAACTTGCTTGTCTTTTTTTCCACCTCCCTCCACAGTTTGGCCTCTCAGCCCAACTTGCTCTTTGGCAGGGAGGAGGGCCTCTGCTGGTACTGTACTCTCTACACTCCAGTCACACAGCTACAACACACTGCTTTCCCAAAATACCTGCTCAGCTCAGTAACTGTAACTGCAAGGTGCTGCTAAAACAAAGAGATTTCTCTGGGGCAGTTTGGCTGGCAGCACAGCAGTTGGCAGTAAGTGATAGTACAACAAAGGACACCTAAATTAAATGGAAATAAACTGAAATACAAAACTGAACATGCATTAAAGATCAGCATGACAAATGTATCACAGCATTAAGCTAATAAATATATCTGGAACTTATGAACTCCTTTGTACCCACTCCCCTCTGCCCAAATTAAACAAACTGAGAATGTACACCGATCAGCCATAACATTATGACCGCCTGCCCAGTACTATTTACACAGGAGTCAACGTGGCAGCTTGTTGGCACTCATGTCACTCTGCAGCTCACTGTGCATCCTGTGTGAATTCGTTCGCTTCTATAGTTACACTGTCAGGAAGAGCAAAGATGTGTCAACCATTCAGTTAAAATCTTGTGTCAAAAGAGTGAAAACTGGTTGTGAGGACAAGTTAGAGAGAATTTTTAGACCAATCCAACAGCCTCACCACTCTAGGTGTGATATCACCACTACAACCCCTGATTCCTTCTCTTCATAGAGACCAATGTACAGTACAAGATTCGAGCAAACTGGAATCTTTTGAAAATGATGAATGAAATTTTAAAGTTAATTCTACTGTAGGTCAACCTCATCACCACTGAGGATCGGGCACCCATGACCCTGTGGTCGGTTCACTGTTTGTCCTTCCTTAAACCACTCTTGGTACTAACCACTGCCGACCAGGAACACCCACCAAGACCTGCAGTCTGGGAGATGATGACCCAGCCATCGCTGCTTCTTAAAGTCACTCAGATCCTTACACTTGCCCATTTTTCTTTCTTCCAACACATCAACATTGAGGGCTGAATGTTCACTTGCTGTCTGATATACCCGACACACTGACAGGTTCCACTGTAATGAGATAAATCAGTGTTATTCTCTTCACCTGTCAGTGGTCATAATGTTATGGCTGATCAGTGTATAACACTTGTAGTGAATTAATTTAGAAAAGTCTAGAGCCTTCCCTTTTGATACATTTCATTTGTACACTTTATAGCACTAGAGCAGTAGATCAAAGGGTTAAATTACACCTACTGTAATAACACTAATACAAAAAACAAGTTACACTGTGTTTAAACTGACTGGATGTGTAACACTGATGAAGTGCCCCTTTAAATTCCCAGTGATACGATTGCAAAACTAACGATGTTAGTTAACTGCAACCAGCACCAAATGTCATTTGTCAGATGTTGTTAATTACTGTATGTACAACACATGGTTGCGGAAATGACTACTCCAGTAAATCTGTCTGATTTGAAGTTAATAGAAGAAGTTGGTCCTCAGAGAAGCAGAGCATTTTGGGAAACCCGGCTGAACCTCACCACACCATGCTGTAACCAAGTGTCTGCTTCTGGCTGTGCTTGCTGTGTTGTTAGTGCTCAGGGGCAGCCTTCCACTCTAGCCTTCATCACTGTCACCGGCCTGCTGACTCAGCCGTTTTCACTCGCCGTAGCAACAGCACCCTGTGGCACCGCCATCCATCTACCTGTGCCGGCCCGAGCCACGGCGCACAGATTTGATGAAGGGGGTAGAGCGGGGGACGGCGTGAGCCTCGCCTCCACCGAGGGATTTGTGTGTGCGAGGGAGATAGGGAGCATTTGTATGTCAGGCAGCTTGAGTTTAAGTATGTGTGTGTCAGAGAAAGACAGCGAGCACAGACCCAGATCGCCTGGAGGAGTGCTATCTTAAATTCCCTTCTCAGCCTGCCAGTAATTGAGGGAATATTAGAGATACAGTGCTGCAGATGGCTCATGATATGACATATTAGAACACAGCCGAGGGGCGAAACACAGTAATTGGGAACTTCAAATTCTGATCGACCGTGTCAAGCTGGGGGAGAGGGAGGGAGAGAACGAGCACGATCCGAAAAATCCTGTTGACGCCATCAAAGGAGCGAGCCACAGTGCAGCGTCAACAGCCGGTGTCAGTCTCAGTGACAGGCTCGAGTCAGCCCCCAGCTACCAGAGGAGGAAGAGGAGGAGGAGGCGAAGGCTGAGTGCGAGGGCGGAGCGGCTGATCAAGGAGCTGTGGCAGGTAGAAGCACAGACAGTGACATCGACGTAAGCTTTTTGGCACATGATTTTTGTCGTGAGCATCTCAGGGCATATGCACAAGAATCATGTGCGGAGCAGCTGTTAGAGCACAGTGTGTTCTTCTTCAGACTGGGATCCCATTTTCACAATGTGCAGGTGTTAGTGGTGTAAGTGTGTTGGGCACACATCTTGTCCTAATAAGGAGAGAGAGATTGGAAATGTATAATAGCATTGACTGAACTAGCAACAGACTTTGGTGATTTGACTCCATTAACATTCTCTATTCTCTGAAGAAGTAGGCCCATAAAGATAGAAGATAGGATGAGACCCCCCCAGAGTTTACATACTTGTGCTGGCTGAGTAAGTCTATGTTCAGACAGACCTCTTATCAGCACTGCTTATAAAAACACAACCGTAATTCCTGTATTGTCACTGCATTTGTCCCAGCTCCGACAAAACAAACTGCTCTGCCGTTCTGCAAAAACTTGTAATGAGTGTTACAGACCAATGTGACGTCCAATCAAATATGTGAGCTCATATGTAATTCCACTGTTGTTGTAGCCTTTTTCATGGCTTTATAAACAACTGCACACTGTAAAAACTCCTGATGGGTCATACACAACACCCTCTGGACTGAATATCATCGTCTCACCAGTAGCTGTAGTAACTCACACACCCTCACAGCCCCTCATTCTTTGAAAGCAGTGCTGTTTTTCAGTCAGACCACCTGCTGCCAGCAGTCAGTGATCCTGCCTGTCTGAAAGGCAAAATCACAAACCTACAGACATAAAGAGCAGTGTCCAACTACTGGATCCATGGACTGCAGACAGCTGCCTTTTCTGTCTTTTGAAGGTGTCAGCAGGTTTGTTTTTGTATCGTTTGACCTTGGTTAGAAGCAGCAGAGTTTCAGTTTCTTGGTTTAAGCATCAGAACAAAGTGTCCTGTCTCATCACAGCCTCAGGTGCTTTGTTTGGGTAAAAACTCAGGTGGCACCAAATATTGCTACAGCTGCATAAACGTCTGAGCGTTGATCCTCCTGCAGCAAAGCGGTGATACACTGTGTTACCAGTGAGTCATAGTCTGAGCCAGGTACAAGGTGGTAAAGGTACAAGGAGTGGACAGATGTTGATGTGCAGTTTGTCATGTGCCCTGTGTGATTTCTTCTGCAAGCCCTGGTTCGGTTGTCACTCTGTGAAGTGGACTCCAGCAGACGAGTGATGTTCGGCCTGCATGGCTTGTGGACTGTGTTTCTCTGTGTCTTCAAATGTTCATCTCATGTGTCCCTGTCCACCCGAGGGCCTGGATTCTAGCACTTCCCGGGTGTCGTGGGTCAGCTTGTCCCAGTAAAAGCCCAGTTTGTTTATCTGCACTTTTGTTTTGTTTGGCTGAAGTCTAAGTTTCATCCCTGCAAACTGTTGTCCACAGGTCTGCTCCCATGTGCTGCTCATACACGTAGCTTTATAATTATGTACTTGATGATGTTTAACTCTTTGTTTCCCTTGTTCTCCCTGCGTCTCTCTGTCTGGGTCTCTCCATTGCTGCAGGCCAGTGGGACACATACCTCAGGGCACCGCGCTGACAGTCAACACAAACCCCAGCATCAACATCAAGTCTGAACCTGTCTCACCAAACCGTGACCGCAGCACTCCTAGCTCCATCGCCGGCGGAGGTGGAGGTGGAGGGGCTCAGGCTCAAGTCCAGGGGCAGGGTCTTGTGTCGGTTGCCTATCCTGGTAGCCTGCGCCTGGAAATGGGAGGTCAAGGTCGTTCGCCTGTTGACAGCCTCAGCAGTAATGGCAGCTCGTACGAGGGCAGCGACCGGGATGACGGCACCCAGGGTCGAAGCGGGGGTCCGGACTTCCACCACCAGGCTGGTGCCGGGGCCCAGCAGCCCACCATGGTCCTACTGAGGCCCTCTTCAGCTGAGCCTCAGGAGCAGGATGGGACCAACGTCAAGAGGATGAGAGTGGACACCTGGGTCACATAAAGAGATGAGCGCAGAGGGATGGATGGACAGATGGAGGATGGCTTGTGTACATGACCCAGCAGCCCTGAGTCTCCCTCCCCATGCATACACACAGATATTATTGTCATCATCCTAGTAACCTAGTGTCCACACAGGAAATGCTGCCCTCACACACACAGACACGACACAAGCATGCTAACATACTATCATGTCACACATGTGGACACTGACGCGCACTTGTACTGTATGAACATGTACTTGAACTCTAATGTACTTTAACTCGTACACAGACACAGAAAACCCCGCGGGGCCGAGCCACCAAACCAGGGATTATTTGTCAAAATAGTTAGAATGTTGGGCTTCATTCAGCTGTGTTTGAATAGAAGTGGAGGAGTTTTGAATTGGGCCGCAGTGGCAAGCCAACCCAGAAATTTGGCCACTTTAACTTTTTCACCTGACATGTTGGCATTCACTCACAGAGCAGACAAACAAGCCAGCCTTGGTTTCCCAGCATGCCCTGCATTTGGTTAGCAGCTGCTGGTATTCTCCCTCCCTCATGCCCATACTGTGTGTTTACCCACACTAGGCTTTGGTCAGACACCACAGCGCTGTATTAAGTCAGTGCCACCACATCTTTGTACACATCGGCCTGAACGCTATTTTTGCTCTCGCTCTAGATTATCGTTTCGGTTCTAAGAGCTCAGGCTGTTTGCTCTTCTTAAAGCGTGGAGTTTTGTCCTTCTGTCTTGATTGTTGATCTTTTAAGTTTGGATTTGTTTCAGTTTTGAATGTGAGGACACTAAGAAGAAAAACCGTCCTCCCTCCCCAGCCAAGCTGGCAGCCGGCATGTTGGCCCTGTACCAGACTGACGACCCCCGGGTCTCTGTTTAATTGGAACCATGCAGACTAGCTGCAAAACCAGGAGCATGATTTTCTGCCGAGGTAAAAGACTGCTCTTCTGAATCAGGGATGAGCTGCACCAGCTCAGCGACACATGACGTAGATAGTTTTGCCCACGTCATCTACAGATGCTGAGGAAATTGTGTGTGTGTGTGGTTTGTGTGTGTGTGTGTGTGTGTGTGTGTGTATGGGTTTGTTACCTCACCTGGTTGTTCTTTAACAAAGTGATTTGGGCAAATGTCTCAGTTTCATCCTTGAACACACACCTGCAATGCACATGGTGGAGGTTATTTTTGTGAAGCTGATGTTCAAAGAGAGAATCACGAGGTACCATGTATATAAGCAATGTGTAACTTTTGTGGCTTTTACGTGACAGGGATAAGGTGTTTTGAAGGTAAAAAAAAATAGATCATATACAAGCATATATTTAACAGCTTCAGGTGGTAGCAAGGGCAGCTCCGTGCCCAGGGCAGGAGACTACAACAAACAACAGGGATTGTGTACATATAAACTATATATTCAGCAAGATATCCCTAAGCAACACAGAAAAAAGCCAACACTCTGATTCTCAGTGGATCTGTCTCTTCTTGTTTTTTCTTATTTATGCTTGTATATAAAGTGTAACATGTTAGGGAGCCAGGAGAGGGCGCTGTGGAGGCAGAGAGGGAGATGGCCTTGGTGGCTGGGACTGTTCTGAGTGAGCAGCGGTGAGGACTGTGTCACTGATGGAGAGCACTTTACCTAAACCCACACCCCTGACCCACGGACACAAACACACACATTGTGTACATACACATTGGGGTTACAATAATAAACCTCTGCTACATATCTAACCATCAGCAAGTACAGAAACAAGCTTGCACTTTGTATTTAATACTGTTTTGTTGTGGTTTCATATAATTTATTACCACACATCAGTGAGTAACTCAGAGCTCCTGTTAGTACTCTGTGGGTGTTTGGTGTGGCACACTGTTTGAAATGAATCAGTGTAATTGATCACAAAACAAATGGTAAACATTAAAGCAGAAGAAAATGGTGAGATAAAATAGTATAGACATTTTAAAATCTTTCTTGCAGATGTATTCAGAACTTCATTAAATAATTTATCATTTTAAGGAACTGACAGAAAAATATTGCTGTTTTTCCCCCTGGCTGAGTAGAACCAGTTCAGCTGCTTCTACTCTGCTGCAAAGCCCAGAGTTCAGGGTCCCCCGAGGGGGAGGCTCTTCCACCCTAATGATTGTTATTCAGATATAACGCCTACTTATTATTACAGTAACTTCTGGCATGTCATAGTACTTGAGTGTTTGCAGCTGCAGTACAACAATGCCAGTATTTTTTTTCTGTCAGACATATCAGTCAGACTCTAGACAGAGGACAGGAGCAAGCCAAGGATGTCCCCTGCTTCTGTTTCAGAGCTTCACATTGTCCTTTTATTCAAAGCCATGTACAGGTGTCCCATATGGTCTATCGGTTAGGATTCCTGGTTTTCATCCAGGCGATCTGGGTTTGACTCCCAGTATGGGAACAGTTTTTTGGGGTCGCTGTGGTTCAGGAGGTTGAGAGTGTGTTGATTCCTGTTCTCCACATGTTGACGTGTCTTTGGGCAAGACACTGAATCTAAAGTTGCTCCTGATGGCCACAACAGCGCCGCCACCAGTGTGTGTTTGAGTTGGCGCTGCAGATGGCTGCCTCTGTTCTTGTAACATACTTGGCCAATAATAGTGATCACTATCATTTAATGACCTCTCCTCCTGTCACTGGTTGGCTGTAGTTGTATATTAGGGAGAGGTAAAAAAAAACGATGAAAAGAAAAAAGGAAGGTGACCTAGTGGTCAACAGTGCAGATTCATGTTGGTTTTTCCTGAAAGCCTCTCAGTCTCCATCCATTTGCCTGTTAAAAAGCTTTGGAGGCAGAGTTCGGGGATCGTCTGTTGTTAAGCCGGAGGATTCAGAACAAGCCTTGATCTGTTAATGACTACCTCCCAAATCCAGCGCAGACTTGTCGACTTGGGGTTTTACCACCTCCAGCCGCCGTATCCTTCTCACGGCCAGGCCCTCGCCACCTCCCTCTGCCCCATCACTCATGCTTTCTAATTACTGAAAGCTTCATCACAGAACATCACACACACACATTTCATCACACACTCTGTCCAGACAGTGCTGAGATGACAGCAAGTCAAATTATATTTGGGGTCATTTCCATGGAAAGCACCCCCTCCCCACCAAACTCCCAGTCTCATCACACATTACTCCCATCATCCTCTCCTCAGTCCATCTCTGATTTCTCATTTTGCTTTTCTCCGTCTGTCACTCGCTCGCACACACTCCCCCACTCTGTGACCAGTCTGACTGTCAATATTGAGATTATTGCTTTTCTGAGCGTGTGGCAGAGTGAAAATAACCCCCTCCTCCACCCACCTCGCACTTAGACTGTTAAGACTGTTGTGCCCTGAGCTTTGAAAAAAAAAAAAAAATAAGAAAAAAAACTCGACCCCGTGTTTACGGCCGCAGGTCATAGGTTTGTCAAAAAGCAGCACAGCAGCCAGTGTGATTTATTTGTGAGAGGGCGATTGTGGGCTCTAGCGAGGCCCTGACACGTTCCGTAGGACGTCACAAGGGTTTGCTGTAATGACAAACTCAAAGACAATCGTGCTGAGAAATCCCCCTCGCCCCCCTTTACAAAAAACAATACTTGCTCCTGTACAATGATATTTAGAAGCCTCACTCACTTTCCAGTGTTAATTTGTGCTGGTGACAGTCTGTTTAATTGTTCTCTGAGAGTTGATATTACTATTCTTATTATTATTATTATCATTACCACAGCTTTCACTGATGGTAGCTGTCATGATGATATAGAAATCTGCGGTTTTTTGTGTAGGTTAGGCATCTTGTTTTATTTGGAATTTGACTTTATTTTATTATATAAAGATATGCTATAAATATATTTTTTGTTTTCTCTTTTTTGGGATTTGCTTTCTGTTTTCTTCAAAGGTTGTTACTGGTGTTGCACGATTTTTATGACACAAAACAGCCAACACAAGCGTAGTGATATTAGTACACGTGTGGCTGCGTACGCAGGCGCTGAACGAGTCGACCGCGACACATCCGCTTCTATGCTGCAACTTTGAGAGTAATGTACAAACCTCTCAGTCCACACTTGGTAACATTTTGGGGGTGGGGGGGGTTAATGTGACACATCTAACTTATTTCTGAGCAAACACAATGATGTCAGTGCATGGGCGTTTCAAAACGAGTGAATCATGCTATAGGAAATCAAATGTAATATCGACTCAAATATACATCACACAGAAAATACATTTAAGAAAAAAGTGACATTGAAAAAAAGTTTAAAATAAATTATAGCTAATATATTGTGTTTGGCTAGTCTGCTTTTTGTTGTAAAGATAATTTTTGTTGTTTTGGAGAATGATATACAATTTGTGTATATTTTCATAAATAAAGTATGCACTGATATGTTACTACAAATTCTATACTGCTTTTACAAAGGAAGTGTTTGTTATTGTACCAAAGTATCCATTGGTCCCCTCTTACCCTGCTCCCATTTTTGCGTATGTTTTACCGTATTTTATATATTAAATAGACAAGTTGACCTACAGAGAAGTCTGAGTTGGTGTTTTTCTGCCTGCTGGATGTGACAGCATTGTCATGTCCTCGCCACTAGATGTCACTCTAATGTTTGCTATTGCAGGACGCGGCTGCAGTGAAAGCTGCAGGTGGGTGAAGGAGCTCAGATCTCCAGACATGATCAGCTGTGCTTTCAGCAAAAGGTGTTTCAGGTATAATATGAACATATGTTGATCTGTAGGTAAACCTTACCTCAAAGTGTCAAACTCAACATCATGTTTTTTGGTAAACATTATAAAGACCCAACATTTTAAAAGCTGAGAGCAGGTATCATCATTTTGATGAAAATATATGTTTCCTGTTAAATGCACATACGGTGTTCTCTATGCTTTATAGTTAGTTTGTATAAGTGTACTTGTGGAGATGCATTTGAGTAATAACTTAATAAATTTGCAGCAGAATTTGCATTCATAATCTCTGTACAGAGTTGGCCAGATCTTGAACCCAGAACTTTCTTGCTATAAAGTGGCAGCGGTGACTACTGCATCACCATGCCACCCCACTGAAGTTTACCTCAGAAAAGCCTAAATGAAGTTACTGTTTCATTTGAGAGATAGGAGAACTGGAGAACAGTTACATCTACATAGCTACCACTTCAAGTGGAGATTAATCAAATCTGAAACTGAGCTGTTGCTCAGATGACAGATACTCTGTTCTCCCCCTGTTCTTTCTTCTTTCCACCAGGAAGGTCAGAGGTCAGGGATGGGAACAAAAACAGCTTAGGCTCTAACAGATGAATATTTGGTCTGAGACTTGGCTTATGCAACATGATGAGTTCAAGCAGTGAAGCTATTCTCCATTAGTTGCAGAAAACTCTAAATATGAACCTGAAGCAACATGAATGAAGGTAAGGAATACAGAGTACATACTTTGATGTACTTTGTGATAGCACAGTGTGATAACCTGCAGACTTCATAAAGAGCACCACCAGTTTCACATTTGCACATTTTATTTATTGAGTTTAATTAGATTGGACTAGTGTCGCAGTGGTTAGCACTGTTACCTCACAGCAAGAAAGTTCTGGGTTTGAGCCCCAGCCAACCCGAGGCCTTTCTGTGCAGAGTTTGCATGGTGCTCCAGCTTCCTCCCACAGAGAGGAGACATTTAAGGAAGTAAGCTTGGGTACATGTACGTAGCAACAAAGGGACTCCAGTGCAACTGTTCACCCACACTGTCAGCTGGTTTGTCCACTGCAGCTGACTCAGACTCAAGGAGCTGCTAATAATAACAACCACACACTGTCAGACAGATGGTCAAGCGGACAGATAAAGTGAGAGATAAAATCTGCCACCCTTCTGGTGGTGATCTTACCAGAAAGATGGGGGTTGATGTGTCATCTCAATGAATCCAAAAGCATCACTTTTCAGTGTAACAGCATCTATTGAATCTTAAAATTATCATGCAAGACTGGTGTGAATATAGAGTAGCTAAAATTGTCCCACTTGCTAAGATGCTTTTATAGGGTGGTTTGTGGTTAATAACAGAGACAGAGAAGTGGTTGAGCAGAGTTGTCTCATCTTCCTCTTTGTTTTCCTCCTTCCTCTGTGAGTTTGCAGGTGTGGTCTCTGCCAGCTCTCATCTAACTTCATTTTTTCACTGATTAGATTACTGTGTGGGCAGCTGCTGTCACACAGATACACACCAATAGGGGAACTGGCATGCCTCACTGCAGCCTGCACCACACTGACATCTGGATTTCTCATGCTGATATTACTGACAGTTATTATAATGCATGGAAATTCCTCTCATGTAAAAATGAAAATCCTCAGTGTCAGTTACACTGTTGTGTCACAGAGATGGTGTTTGTGTCACATTTCTTGTCTCTGGCCTGTGTTTTCCCAGCCCTATTGCTTCCTGGCCTGTTCTAGAACCTGTCATTCCCAATCCAGGCTCCAGTTGCTCCAGATTTCCCCTCCAGCTCTGCCTGACACACCTGCAGCTCTCTCCTGGTTATCCAGTCCTCGCCACACCTGTCTCCGCTTACCTGACTAGCTTCTGTTTCTTTGCCCAGGTTGTTGTGTTCACCATAGCCTTGTGATTCTCATCCATGGCATTTTCACCAGCTGCCTGCACCTGTTTACCTGGTTTACCTGTTTGTTTGCACTTCCCTGTGCGTGGACTTTGCCTGTCTCAGACTCAGCCTCTTGGTGCCTCTGACTGTTTTCTGCCAGCCTCTGACTCCTACATGGATGTCGCCTCTGGCAGACTGGCGACCTATCCAGGATGTACCTGCCTCTCTCCCCTTCAACCCCTATGGCCCTTGTCAGGATGAGTGGTATAGATAATGGGTGGATGGATGGACATTGCCTCTGGCTACCCTGCTTAGTGTTGTGCACCCAACCTGTGTAAGTCATCATTTGTTTATCAAACCTGTTAGACTTTTCCTGCCTGCCTCCCTCCATGTCTGCATCTGGATCGCTGCTTCTTTATCTCTATCATGATCTGACTATTGTTAACAACATTTATATGGCAGCTTCTAGGTTTTCACAAAAATATTTTGCCATTTTATTCATAACTGATCCTGAGAGAAAACTTGCAGGGAGCTATAAACCAACAAAGTTTTCACTATTGCTGTTTTCCAGCAGTTCTGTTGTTAATTGCTATGTCTACCTTCTAAATGATCTCAGCAGAACCCTGCTCCTTTATTAAGTAGTTTGATTAAACAAAACTGGCATCAGACTTTTAGAGAACCCTGAATGTGTTGAGCTGAATGCCAGTAACTCTGGACAAGTCACTTATTTTAACATCTTTTAAGTTATAGTAAAAAGAAATGAAGCCTTGTTCGTGTCATTGAAAATGCTCTGCAGATAAAACCAGCAGTCCGGGTTCAGCTGGTTCAGCTGCTTCCCCCACCCCCCACACACCAGACAAAAGGTCAGACTGACTGCTACATTACTCTTTTGTCCTCAGACCAAATCAGCCCTGGTTTCCAAGACTGAGTGAACATCTGTATCTTTTATACACAGCAACAGGCCTGGTCAGTCTCAAAACACCTGACTGTGATCTCAGACATCCAGGTCATAACCTTTGCCAGTATTGTTCTCATTTCTGCACTGTCACTCATCCTGGATCACTAAAGCAGCCTGCAGCTGTCATTAGCTGATTGCACTCTGCAGTGCAACCTCCTCTCTATTTTAACACAGCCTGTGTATGAGAGTGCTACAGTCACATGCTTTAAGCCCGTTGCTCAGATAAACACTAGTGTTTGGGGGTGTGGAGGCGTGCTTTGTGGTCTCTGAGCATGAGGTACATGGCAGGATGGAGCATGGATTACTTATCAAGCTGCACCAGGCAACTAATGACCCACAGAGGGAGAGCTAGTCTGCCTTCCACCTACTTCTTCACTGTGGTCAGAGGAAACTCATCTCTCTCCCTATCTTGGCAAAAAAAAAAAAACAACATTTTTGGTGCACCTTGCATTTCTCTGAACAAGTGCTGAAAATCTCTAGTAGTTTAACTTCTCATGTTGCTGTAGTGATGTGTGTATGTTCACAGTGGCATCACTGTTGGAGTGTGGTCAGAGTTGCAACACACTTTCAACACGATACTTGCTAAGTAGATACAAACATTTACTGTAAGGATGTGAGTCGAAACAGGTGAAAATTGAAACTGCAATCAAGTTACTGGCTTCTTAAAAACAGGACAAGGACGTACAAGCCATGACCCTGTGAGGCTGATTGACACAGAATTAACAGGCAGCTCATGTTGAAGCTCATCTCTCCAGAAGCTCTTATGGCTTTAGCGCTCGCTCGGTTGTCAGTGAGGTGCAGATTTGTATTTTAACCACTTAGCTTATATTATTAGGGAGAGCACCTTAGACTGAGTTTTCAGTTACTCAACTTTCATCTTAAACACAAAAATTATTAACCAATATCTCTGAAACTAACATGAACGGTCCCTTTTGGACATAAATGGTCTTTGCAGCACCATCAGCAAACCCAAGTGTTGAAGATTACACTCAAGACACCAGATCTCATTTAGTGAGTTTTCTACAAAATCTCACATCCCCAGGACACAGATCTTGTGATTGTGATGACACCATGGTCTTTCTTCTAGAAAAACAAACTGGCCAAACTTCGATATTGCTAGTTGCACTATACATGAATCCCAGTTACTAATTTCCACATGTAAGTTGAGTGTAACTTGGCCTCTAGCAGGGTTTTAGACTTGTCACTCAGCAGTACCCACAGTTTCCTTGAGCTACCCTAATATGGCTGAAGTGAAAATGATTCATTCCCTTCTTGCCTTTTTTAACATAATGAAGCTCTAACATGGGGCGGCCCAGTGGAGATGCTCCCCCCCGACTCTGCACCTCCTCCATCGTTCACACCGATGACATCAGGAGGACAATCAATAGACACAGGATGACAGATGGCTATCGCAGCACACATGTGCACACACACACACTGACCGCAAAGAGCTGACCGGGCAAACACTCCTCCCCCCACGTGAATCAGCAGCAGCTAATAGACACTGGTCACGACTGAAGCATGGGAATATGTTGGTACGCAGTGTGATTTTAATAACGGCTGGACTTTTTAGGCATCCTCAACTTAAATATTATTGAATCTAGAGCAGTACATACAGTACCTTTTGGTAGTGCTGCATTATGATGCCAAGTCCTCAGGATACATCAGTGTTGTTAGACATGAGAACAATTGAAAAGTTTGATCTGGTGTTCTTATTCCTGCGTTGCTAACTAGCTGTAATTCACCAAGCTGTGCTGACAAGTCACCTCAAACACAGCCATACTTTATTAGCAGCTATGCCAAGTTTTGTGGTAACCAGGGAGCTTGTTAGTGAGAACTTGGCACGATGTAAAGGCGTCTTGTTGACGCTCGGCTTGACCCTCCATAGCAGGGTTTTACTGCATTAAGTTGCCAAGGAATAAAATGATTCTTACAGCCATCAAAAGACAACTAGTTTGTGCCAAATGTCCTAGAATGTTAAGTACATAAATAAACACTTGTGTGTTTCAAAACTGTTTCAAAACTTCCGGGTTCCCTTGATGGTTTTAAATGCAGCCATAGTAGTTAAAGCCAAAATCCTTAAATTAACATCTCAACTAAAACCAGTTGTGTGAGGCTATAGTGAGGAAGTGAATGTGATCAGGTTTGGTTTTTAGTGATAAAAAGCAAATACTTTACAAAAATTGCAGAAATCTTTTAATATATTAAGTTAAAATATTCAACTGTATCTAGTGAGTTAAAGAATGTATTTTTTATTATACTTTATCAATCCCCGTGGGGAAATTTCTTACTGAGGCGGCGCTGTGCACTTCAACATGCGGACTGGGGAGACCTAGAATCAAACCACCAGCCTTCCAATTACTAATTGTAACTTGGCTACATCAGCTGTAAAAGGTATAAACAGTACATCTGTTATTTTGAGAATTTCTTTAAGTTGGCCAACCAGCTTTAATTAATAAGATTCCTGCTAAGACAGTAAAACGCACGAGCTCTTTGTCTTTGCAAACAAAGGCTCTAGTGACTTCAAGCACTTATTTTTATTCAGTGTACAAGTGTTAGTGTGTCAGTTACTCAGTACTGAAACAGCAACAGGAGATAATTGGCTATTATTAGGAAAAGGAACTGTATTTTTAATCTTCTCTGCAGTTTCAGTATCTGGTGTTGCTGCTTTACTCTCAAGCCTTATTGAAGTTCTTCTTATCACTGTGGGTATCTTGGGTAAGACGGCTTTGATGGGGGGAGAATAGCAGCATGCCAGACAGCTGTCGTAATGCCATTCCAGCACTTGTGCTTTGTCACAGTGAACATGACAGTCTGCGGTTTCCTTTCTCACTGAATTGCTCACTGGGCAGCAAGGAGGCGGGCAGCTGCTGAAATAGCATCATTGTTAGCCAAACTGACTAGTGAATGACAAGGGGGGTCAGAGGGAGTGGGGGAGGGAGGAGGTGAGGTCACACATTGTTGCCGCTTTTGTACTTTCCTACTTTTTCCTCGGCTGTCTCATGGGATGGCCGTTGGCTGGCGGAGGGCCCTGATGCTGCTGGTAGTTCGTCTGTTTTTGAGGTTTATAAGGCTGTTGCCAAGTCCAAGCACAGACAAACCCTCAGATGCAGCCTCACAGCTTCCCTCAATGCAAACCCCAGAGGAAACAGAGATGTATGTTGCTAGAAGGCAGCAAGCAGCTGGTTTCTTGACCTTGTCTTATAGACGCAACTGTACTGTGTTAAAAAAAAAACAGGCTCGTTGGTCTGTCTAATCAGTCATCACACACCAGCTCCTTCCTCTAAATAGCTGACATTCATTTAGCTTTCAACACCACATTTTGTGACAGTTGCCTCCTCCTGATATAAGCAAAGGTTTTGCATATTGTAGTTTCTTGGAAAGAGCTCTGTAATCTGGTGTCTATTACACTCCAAATCTCCATTTAAAATGAAGTCAATAGTGTATTCATTCATTATTCATTACTATTGGACACTGGTGGCAAGTAACTGAATACTTTTACTCACGTTTCATACTTACAGTAAGTACAGTTTAAGGTTTAATGGAGTATTTCCCTTTTGTTAATTTTACTCCACTACAGCTTAGAGAGAAATGTTGCATATTTTACTCACCACATTTATTTGACTGCCTTTTACTTTGCGGATTCTGTTAATAAAAATATAATGTGCTGCTATTGATTAACCACCTGGAAGAACAAAGTGATTAAAACGGCTCCACCTTTAGCAGCTGTGCTGTTTTTGTTCCACACCAAGTCACTATACAGTAACAGACCTTGGACCCCTGTTTTTTTATTCACTATTAGGCTTTTTTTGTCATTTTTCAAATTTGAAAGTTTGTTGATTAAACACAGACTTTTACATTCATGTTAACAGCATCAAATTCTAGTGTTTTAAAATACGCTGTTACTTGCACTTTATATTTTAGATGTATTTAGTACTTCAACTTGAGGAGAGAATTTGAAGTGGTACTTCTGCTTATAGTGAAGTAGTTTTTTAGGAAAGTACTTGCATCTTTACTTGAGTATTGAGTATGTGTACTCCTACCACCTCCGCTATTGGAAAGTTTATTCTCCATACATATTAGCAGTTGTATCTTTGCTGTTGACCCTGGCACATTTTTGCATGTTCAGCTGACCAGACCAACATACTATAAAGGTGTCGTTAGCAAAAACTGAAGTATACTAATTGAACATTCTCCGATTTCTGTGTCAGTAGCAAAAATTCATATAGTTATTTCCAGGAAATCTCTACGCAGTTATTAAGAAATAACAGACTTAAAAAGCATCAGCTTTGTCCTAAAGCAATAAAATGGTATTAAATGTCACAGTAACGGTTAATGGATTCAGGCCCTCGCTGAGTTGCCAGCTATTTATTTGCTAAAAATAAACTAACAGGATGCTGATACAGATCACCAAAAAAGTAAACTGTGGTGTCAGATTCTATCAGTTCAGCTAACAGTGAGTTGTTTTAGTAATCAGAAAGGTCGAATTAGTTTCATTCAGGTTTCCAAAAGACTAATCAGTTGGAATGAAAGTGAACTCTATCCGCTAAACATGGTTTGTAGTGTCAGTGTGTGAGGACGACTGTGTGAGCAAACAAGAGAAATGGTCAAACAGGGATTCAGCAAATCATATCGTCTACAGTTTATTATGGATTGTAAATGTACTGCAGTAAAAACTTTATGGATGGAAATCAAAGGATGTTACAGACCCATCAAACACCATCATTTGCTTATCAAAAATGTGGTTTATATCCTCTTGAACAACCCTTTTATAACCTAGCAATCACTCTACATGTGTAACACATTCAAAGATGATTCAGCTGCTGTCCAATAACATGAGCTAACTCGCAGGCAGAAACTCGAGCTGTCTGCCTGATACACTGTCACATAGCAGCTCTTCAAGGAGTCCTACCCTCTGGCGCTTATTGATTTCCATCAGTCAGTAAAATCAGATTAGGCAGTGATCAATAAACACTTTGACTTTCAAATGACATTCTTTGTTTTGTCTTCATGCAGAAACCCCCAACCTTCCCTCGTAACATGCAAACAGAAATCTTTAAACAATCAGAAGAAAAAAGGTTAAGTAATATGTAATAGAAATGAGGTGAGTGCACGGAATCCTGGCACTTTGGTTGTTGGGGTCACTGAGGTGCACACCAAGGCACGACTTTGGTTTTTATAACAAATGCATGATACAGGAAATATCCTCTGACTAGGCCTAAAACTGGTTTAGCTCAAATATGTAGCTGCTTTTTATTCTGTCTCCTCCTCTGATGACCAGGATGCACCCTCAGCCTCAGACTCCTCAGAATGGAGCAGCCCCCCCTCAACAACATTGCTGCCCAGCACCTGCTTCACCTCAGTATGCTCCTGCTCCTCTTTTGCAGCCAAGGCTGTAGATGAGTCAACATCCACCCTGGAGTTCCCGTTGACCACATTTGAGTTTTCCAAATTCCCCAAAGCTAAGTTATCACCAAACCCCAGATTCTCATTGGTTTGTTCAGCTGCTTCATTACAGGCATCTGGTTGATACGTGGCACCAGTGTCCCAGAAATCGTTCGACAGAACGGAGCTGAAAGCTTCACAGAGGCTGCCGTTTTTGCCATTTGTGTTCGGTTGTTCTGAGGCCTTCACCTCAAAGATACCCTCTTCACCTGGAGCGCTGTCGGGGGAAATCTCAAGGGGTTCCTGTTTATGTGTCATGATGACCTCATCAGAGCTTCTGTCCTCAGCTGGTTCATGGGCATTTTCAGATTTCCCAGGAACAACGTCTGTCACCTCAGTGGGGGCAGCCACCTCCTGCAGGTTTTGCAGCAGCGTTGAGTGTGGGTCCTCTGTATCAGGCCTGCTGATGAAATCATCGAAGTCATCTGCTGCTACTTCTCCTGTTGCTGCTGCTTCTCTTTTCTCTGGAGCATCTAGAGCTGACTGATCTCCATGTTGGCTCTCCTCCTCAGCCCGTGTGGTCGTTTGAGGCATGACCACTGAATCACCAAAGTGTAACTTCTCACTGTTCTGATCTAAAATTGTAGTGGAAGATGTAAGTTCCTGTTTTACCCCCACATCAGGCTCTGCACAGGAAGATATGTCCTCTGTGCTGCTGTCTTTGCCATTTGCGTTCGGTTGTTCTGAGGCCTTCACCTCAAAGATATCCTCCTCACCTGGAGCACTGTCGGGGGAAATCTCAAGGGGTTCCTGTTTATGTGTCATGATGACCTCATCAGAGCCTCTGTCCTCAGCTGGTTCATGGGCATTTTCAGATTTCTGATCTCTTATTTCAAAGTCCTCACTGGGGCTCTGGTCCCACTCAGCTGTCTCTGGAACATCAGGAGATTGCTGACTGTCTTCAACTAGATTCTCTGGAGACTCGTTGGCCGCTTCTACAGGAACAACGTCTGTCACCTCAGTGGGGGCAGCCACCTCCTGCAGGTTTTGCAGCAGCGTTGAGTGTGGGTCCTCTGTATCACTGCTGATGAAATCACTGAAGTCATCTGCTGCTACTTCTCCTGTTGCTGCTGCTTCTCTTTTTTCTGGAGCATCTAGAGCTGACTGATCTCCATGTTGGCTCTCCTCCTCAGCCAGTGTGGTCGTTTGAGGCATGACCACTGAATCACCAAAGTGTAACTTCTCACTGTGCTGATCTAAAATTGTAGTGGAAGATGTAAGTTCCTGTTTTACCCCCACATCAGACTCTGCACAGGAAGATATGTCCCCTGTTTTGATTTTTCCATCCTCTTCTTGCTCTGTCACTGTCTCCACAGACTCGCCCTGCAGGTGAAGCTTCTCCTCATCCTCACTGACCTGCTGCTGTGTAAAGTGGGCACTGTAGCTGTCTGTGCACAGGTTGTCTAATTCCTTTTCCACACGTCTGTCTGTCTCCAGCTCCTCACCCTGGTCTACATTCACGGGTTTGGTAAGTTCACTAGTTTCTTCATGCCCTTCACCAACTTCCTTGATCCCTTCTTCTGCATTTTTGGTATCATTCACTGATGTACCATACTCAGTTACAGTTAGATGATGGCCAGCATCCCTGTCCTCTGTATGAGTGTATCCCAGATCATATTCCTCATCCAGTGCGTCCCCTTCGGCTTCTTCGCACAGATCTTCCATAGTTCCAAAAGTCTTTGATTTGCCTGTGCTCCATGTCCCGGGTCCCATCTCTCCGACCTTCTTTTCCTGTTCACCTTCACTGGACTCACTCTCATCCATGTGTAGTGCCTGAGTGTTGGCATCAGTCTCATCACTTTTGTATCGAATCAGAGGACGAGTGTCAGCAAGAGTGTTATCCTGAGCATAGCTGTCGCTCTCCAGTTCGGTCCTCCATGACACCGAGACATTTTGGGAGTCCTCCTCATCTTCTTCCTCTTCTTTGTCAGGAAGCAGAACAAGCTCTTGGTCAAACTCAGCGTGCTGTATGTCATCTTCTGCTTGTGTGCCCATAGCTGAAGAGGCCATGTTGTCATCTTGTCTCTCTGTGGCAGAATCCTGCCTAATTCCTCCCTTTCCATGCTCTGGTTCTCTTGCTGAAATATCTTCCTCTGGTTCAGCATGTTGTCTTTTTATTTCATCCATTTGTATGCCATCATCCATTTTCACATCAGCCTTCCTTTCTATTACACTATCCCATGTGTCCATCTCCTCTCCATCAGGGTACAAACCGTCCTCACCATCTGCTTCATTCTTTCCTTCCATGGAACAACTTATTTCTTGTCTCATCTCTACTGCATCATCATCAGAGATGATTTCACCTTGACTGAAATCTGTCATTTGGTTAAGCACACTGTCTTCAAGGGCACATTCAGATGCTGGACTGCTCGTCCTGGATTCAAAGTTTGGTTCAAGTACTGCCTCGGTTTCAGAATCCGAGGTCTCCTCTTGGACATGCTCTGCCTCTGTACACTCTTTGTTGACCCATGCGTCAGCTGGAGTCTGTGGCTGCTGCATGTCTTCTGTCTCAGCAGGCCTTTCAAAAGGCACATCATTACCAGATTCATCAGATAAACCGCAGGGTTTCTCGTCCACTCTGATGTGGGATGGTGGAAGGCTGGCTGTTGTAAACTGACACTGACTAACTTCATCATTGAAGGCTGGCTCAGTGCTGAGGTCAGACTCAGCCTGATAACTGACAGCTGACTCCACAGCTGGTCTCCCCTCAGGTGTTTCAACATCCTCTTCATCTTCTTTGTCTCCTGATGTTTTAGCAGGAGCCTCCTGCTCACTAGGAGGTGACAGAGCCTCAGCATGGGCGACTGTGTCATGAACTTCCTGTGGTCTGAAATTTTCAACAGCTTCATCCTGCAATATTTTTGGATAAGGACTTTTCCATTTTGCAAACATTGCTACATCTGTAGGTTTCCTGTAAGGAGTTGCATCAATAGTTGTAGGTTTTCTATTGCAAACTGGTGTTGCACTTGTCACTGCTGGTCTTTTTACTGTTATGCTGCGGACAGATGAAAGAGAAGTAGTCTTGTGTCTAGGAGACAGCTGCGTTTGGTAACTCTGTTTACCCGCCAGAGGACTGAACACTGCATCTATAAAGGAACAAATGGAGCACGTGTGAATACACAACCAACTGACCTACTGTATTAATAACTGCTTGGATATATGCCTCTTGAATATATTAAGTTTAAATCAAAATAACCATTTTTTTATCACAATTCTGCCAAATACACTGTATCCCAAGATATCTTATCTATAAACAGCTGTGACTGGCATTTCAACTCATCCCTGTACAGTGGAAACATCTGCCTCCTGAAAGCATTAGTCTGGACACTAATGGGGAGATATTGATCGTCGTTTCCTCCTTCCTCTCCACTGTTGTCTAAATTACTGGAAAGCAAAGCCATATGGCCCAATAATCTTGGGGAGTGGGGGTTAGGACCCAAAGTGGCTAACTCTGCCCCCTACCCCCACTCCCTGCTCTCCAGTTAGGCTAATGCATTTATAAATTGTATGGGACATGTCCCCCACTCTGAGTGGCTTTCAGTTAGACTAAGTGAAGTAGTGCCTTTTCAGAGGGGGTCTGTTAGTACAGCAGGCAGAGGATTTATGTTCTAAACACTGTGACAGTGAAGTCACTGACACAGTGCTGATGTATGAGTATTGTTTGTTTAATTACCTGTGATGGAAATGTTTCTTGGTGGATTTAACAAAGAGATGCCTTCGCCGTCCAGCAAAGCTCTGTAGAGACAAACGAGAGAAACAGCTCACAGTGTAAATTTGTGAAGCTCTTACACACACGTGAATATTGTGGTGAGCCATAAATGGGTGATGTATATCTGTGATGCTGCACACAGCAAAGCAGAGGGCAACTTCTGTTGCTCTTGAGCTGCAAGAGCAGCCTGAGCTCTGTTGTTATGGTAATGAGGGAAAGTCCTCGCCACTGAGGAGCCAGCTGCAGCACAGAGTCCTCTGCCATCAACCCACCCCCAATCACTCACACACACACACACAATGACAGCAGATATTATGAGCAGCCCATGCATCACTAATACCACAGTCTCCATTCATACATGTGGACCACACCCGTCTCCATTCCTGGCACACAGTCTTAAAAAGCTGCAGATTAACTTTATTAAAATATTAGATATCGTTTTGAAACACAAACCATTGACTGTATGTGTAACAGCAGTATCATCTGTAGTGAATGACATTGAAATCTGTCCTCCCCTCGTCTCATTCCCTTCCCTTCTGCTGTTATTCTAGACTCCCATAGCTCAGTAGCTTCTCCCTGAAGAGTGGGGGTCAATATTTTAAGGAGGGGGAAGAGCCCACAGTAGAGCTCTACAAATGATAAGTTACTCTGTCTAAGACAAGAGCGGCTGCTGGTTCAGTGAGACACCTTTAGTCCAGACTAGACAGGCATAGTAGTTGTACATGTGTAATATTTACTAGTTATACTAACATTTCCAAACTGGGCCACACAGAAATGTGGAACCAAAACTGATTTTGAGAAATGCAAGTATCTGATTCTAATGTAATAATAATTAAAGGAACATGGCATATCAGGCCTTACACATTATGCCTTTAACCTGGCTGAGTTTAAACACTAGAAACAGGAGAAGCTAATCACCTACATCAGACTCGAGCTGTCTTATATGGATGTTGTCCATGTCCTGATAACTTAAAAGCCAATTACCAGTCTGCTGATTACTTTCTGACTTGGTGATTAAAAATTTTGTCTGTAAAATATCATTAAACTGCCAGAAACACCCATCACTTTTTAAAAGTTGTATATCCTGTCCCCAAATTGCTGGGTTTGCTCAACCTGAAGTCCAAATTGCAAAGAAGTTTGGTTCCAATCTTCCTCTTTAGAATGTTTGCTTGAAATGACTAATCAATCAAACATAGTTTCTGATAACTTTTCTAAAGACTGACCAATCAGTTCAGCTCTGGTTGTGCACACGTACATAAGCAAACTTCCCCAAATAAGAACCTTCCTGTCAGTCTTTGTCAGCTATTTCCATGTCACAGCAGCAGCATGGTAAAGACTGATGAAACAGATAAGATGATGTTCCACAAGTCGTATGTATTTTTTTTTTAAATAAACAGCTACTATATCCAGATATGAGCAACAGTTTGGAGCTGAGCAATAAGTCAAGTCACTTTTATATGGCAACTTTCATACATGCATGTAAACTCAAGGTCCCTATGCTACTGTATGTGACTGCAATCAGAACCCCTAACAATTATTAGCTATGGGTCAACAATCAATACTGAAATATTCTATGACAGTTTATCAGTGCTCTGGCATTAATATCAGGATAGCTTGTTTTGTTACAGAGACAAGTTCTTTATTTCTCTCCTGTAGGTCAGACTTTGGCCTCATACGTTTAAATGATGCTGCGGGTGCTAATGTTGCTGTGTGTCTGTTAAACACTTGTGGTTCTTCACAGACTATAACACTCTGTGGCTAAGGCTTATCATGATTCAGAGGAAAAAAATCCTCCTTTAAAAAGACTTTTGAATTTTTAAAGAAGTACAGTACACCTTTCTTAGGTTTTTGGCAATATAGCAGGTAGTGAACAAAAATATTTGCTTCTCATGCTGGGAGAGATTTCAGCCCCTGTAACCCTGCACAAGGCACAAACATTTTATTGATGGCCTTTATTTCTTCTTGGTTTTCTGTTAAGCTTTTGGAACAAGCCTCTTTATTGACCATGCTTTAGAACTCACTGTTCCTGGACGTACATTAAGCAGCAGTCAGTGCTGTTTACCTGTACATCGCGACCTCAAGGCCCAGAGACTTCTTCAGCTGCAGCAGGCCCCTGTTCTCAAGGACCATTTGATCAATCTGCTGGCCCAGCTCCTCCTTCTCCACCTCCAGGCCCTCCAACTGCTCCTGTCCAAACAAGAAGTGAAACCATAAAAGGAGGTGGTTAAAAAACATAAAGGCATGAAAGCATTTTTACACTGTAGCCAATGAAGTGTAAATAACCATTCTTTGTTCCACTGTTTGTCACCTTCAGTGGGTTGATAAGAGAATAAGGTAGTGACCTAGTAGAGGGTTGTACAAGTAAATAGTTTGGGCCTGACTGACCACATGGTTTGTTATTAGACAGTCCACACGGGGAGAAAGAAATATAGTCCTGAAAGTGCTTAATTTGGGTGCATCACCTCTCTGTGACCCAGAACTAATCCCAACAGCCCCCACCTACACAAATGGAGTGCCCAGGCCCTTTCACACACAGATGTTTTTAATCTGTCAGAATATAAAATGAGGACACTGAGGAACCAAAGACCCTGGGAAAGTACTCACAAATGCTTCTTAAAGTGCTTCAGTGGGTCATCTGCCATATTACAGAAAGCCTTGAATATTTACCAGGAAACGAGGTGTGTAGAGTTACAACAACCTGATTGATATGACTTGACCAGTCATAATGTATATGGATGATGTCTGAACTCCATATGCTAATGATAGTGCATTGTTATCCAGTGTTCCCATTCCCCTGTGGTTTGTCACGTTGTTATTTTAAACTTTCTATTTGTGTCATGTGAAACTATGACACAGGCATCAAACACCGTGACTGACTGCATGTGTCAGGATCAACAGCTGGTCACTTTATGGGGCTCAGTTTCACACAGGGCAGAAGGTTTTGAGGCTTCCCTTAAAAAAATAAATAAATCACAAAAGCAGTAATTCAAAGGGCAGGACTATTCTAGTGAGCTGAAATTCCAATTACAGGAAATCTTTTCTCCTCTGTAGCAGTAAATACTGATCTATAAAATACTGAAATGACTGACACTAAAATCAGCTGTGGTCATCGAAGTTGTTTTTCAAGGCACTACTTTGGACTCGGACTAATTGCGATGAGCAGTGGTCATTTTTGACATTTTTAGAATAAAGTTGATTAACTGATGAAAATAATAGTTTCATCAATGTTGAAAACAACTGTTATTTGCAACTTGTTTACTGCTACAGTCAATGGGGTACAGAGCCAGGATGCATCGTGTCCCAGCAGGCATGTTCTGCACTCACCTGGAACTGCTGGGTCTCCTGGCTGTGTCTGTCTTTCTGTTCAACTGCACTCTTCTCCAGATGCAGTCGGATGTCCTGAGCTGAGGTGAGCTCCTTCTCCAGGGCCTGAAGCTTCAGCTGACTTTCATTCTTCTCCTGGGCCACCTGGGTCAAATGGCTCCTGGCCTGGTTGAGCGACTCTTCTAGGTGGGCTAACTGGCCCTGATGGGCCTCTGCTACCTCCTGCCATGCTCTGCTGGCCCTCTGAGAGCACTCCTGCTCCAGCTGTAGGAGGCTTGGTGTGTGGTTTCCCCTCTGAGCCAGTGTGGGTGGCACTGTGACTCTGGTATGGGCCAAGGTGTCCTCTAAGTGGGCCACATCTTCCTCATGGGTGTGAATTAGGAGCCTCATCTCATGCTCCAGCTCACTGACCTTCTCTCTCAGCCAGATCTGAGCCCTCTGTTCCTCCTCCAGCTCCTTCCTGCTGTGTTCCAGCATTATGTTGGCCTTCACTTGGGCCTGAGCTTCCGTCTCTCTCTGCAGGGCCAGACCTTGGAGCTCCTCTGTCAGCCTGCCAACCTCCAGCTCCGCGTGGACCCTGTCCCTCCAGGCTGCATCCACCTCCAGTCTTGCTTGCTGCAGCTCTTCTTTCAAGCCTTTTCTGAGGGCTGAGGCTTCATGTTTGTTGCATCTCAGAGCCTGGATCTCCTTTGCAAGCAGCACATTTTCCTCCTCCAGGAGTTTGACCCGGCTCAGGTAAGTCTCTAGGCGTCGGTTCAGACTCAGCATCTGGTGCTTCTCCTCCCCCAGGTGGCCGTGGTGGAAGGTGTTATGCACATTGTGCAGCTCCATGTTAGAAAACAGAGATACAAGCCGAGATCCCACTCTGAGGTACACTGATTATAATTTGGCAGCAAACTGCACGTCTATGTCCAGGCCAGAGTTGGCGTGGGGGGAGTTTTTTTTGTGTGTGAGTGAGGATCCCGTAGTGTGACTGCCAGCAAGAGAATTCTCTTTCATACTAGACTTAATGAAGGGGCCGGGCATACAGACCACAGGGGAGGAGGGATGGGAAGGGAGGAGACGGGAGGCTGGAGAGGGAGGGGGGATGAGATGAAGATGGATGGAGGGAGAGATGAGATGTGGAGGAGGGAGGGGGGCTGAATCAGGTAAGAAAAGGCAGAGAGAGACTAATCTCCAAGGTTAACTCTTTCACCACTGGCACTTTCTCCATTGGCTGCTAAAGAAGCTGAATGATTTCACAGGCAGAAATTCAGATGCGATTAAACCAAGAGTAACAGACATTATTGTAACACTGCAAGTCAGAAATAACAAGCAATGGATGCTTTAGGTAGTAGTATGACAACATTATGTACACAGCAATCTGTAGTGCTTCATGTAATGTCTTGAAGCTTTTTCATTTGTTTCAATTCAGTTTTGACAACAGGACTTTTTATTTTTGCTGAAACTGCTTCAGTGAAGATGGATGGAGGGAGAGATGAGATGTGGAGGAGGGAGGGGGGCTGAATCAGGTAAGAAAAGGCAGAGAGAGACTAATCTCCAAGGTTAACTCTTTCACCACTGGCACTTTCTCCATTGGCTGCTAAAGAAGCTGAATGATTTCACAGGCAGAAATTCAGATGCGATTAAACCAAGAGTAACAGACATTATTGTAACACTGCAAGTCAGAAATAACAAGCAATGGATGCTTTAGGTAGTAGTATGACAACATTATGTACACAGCAATCTGTAGTGCTTCATGTAATGTCTTGAAGCTTTTTCATTTGTTTCAATTCAGTTTTGACAACAGGAGCCACTGTCTGAAAAGACAATGCAATTCAAAGAACTGCACACCCAAAACACAAAACGCCTCACACACTCCACAAAATGAAGCACTACACACAAAACTACAACAACACTTATCAAAATTGAACTTTTGCACCAAATTCCACACACTTCATTCACTTTTACTGACTTTCAGTGTGTAGGAAACTACACACTGCTGGGCTAAATCCAAAGCCTTTATCTTTGGTGGCCATTTACAACAAATAAATTCTGCAGGGAAAGATCCTTCAAGTTCCCAGAAATCTGCCCAAAACACAAATTTCACTACAAAACAAGGTGTTTTTTCCCTTCACAGCAAATTAGTGCTACAGATATTATAGTTGTACAAACACTATATCAACACAACAAAATAGAGGCTGCATGCATCATGCTGCCCAGCTGTGTCTGGCCACAACACGTCATCCACATCGCATGCAACATCCTCTCAAGAGTCTGTTCAGGCCTCAGCAGTCACCACATCAGTAGCATCACATGCTGCTTCCACTGCCTGTAAAAGAAGCCCTTCCTCCTCGCTCTCTGTTTTGACCTCCTATCTCCACCTAACAGGTCAACTTCCTTTGTTGTAAACAGATGCTCACCTGCGGTCTCTTTTTGTGGTGCTAACATAGTGTTTAATGAGTCAGTTATGCAATAGGGTGTTAAGTTTTTTTTCTAATGGAGTCAGGAGCGTGGCATTTTGAAATGGCAAACAAGTGGCTTTATGGCAGATTTCAGAAGCCTCAGATTGGACACAACAAACTATTTGCAGAGTAAAGAGAAGAAATTCTGACCGTAATAAAAGTCACTTTTTACTTTTTATAGACTTTGTACTGTATGTATGTGCGCTCAGTGATGGCAGGGAAAGCAAACATTTGGCTTTCCCATCTCCATCTAGTGGGCGTCTCAAAACATTGCAATTTCTCCCATTGCCCTGTATCACAAGATGACATTGCAGCTTTCTCTGAAATGCACGTGTATCAGCAGAAATACTTCTAAAGTATGTGTCAACTAATTGTTCTGACCTTATCAGTTACTAATTATTGACAGCTGTTTCATTAGTTAGTCAGAGCGAGCTGTTCCCAAGGAAGTCTAGAGGTTGTGAAGGATGTCCTAGAGCCAGACAAATTGGCAGAAGCTTTCCAGAGCAGAAATATTCACTGGCTCCAGCAGTGAAGATGTACCTTCACCAACTGTGAGTATTCATCAAATATCCGCTCTAGTGTTAAGAATAAAATTTTCACACTATCTGCTACATTTTCAGAATTTCATAAACAGTCTCTCTGACCTAGTGCCAAACTTCAGCTGCACTCTCACTGAGGAATTTAATATTTCAAAGCAAAAAAGACCATGAAGTTCAATAACTTGACACTTTGTGTACTTTGCTTCATCTGTCAAAACACCCCAGTTCAGGAAATAACATTAAAATTTATATGTCATCAGAGTTTAGCACATAAATGTTTAATAAACAAACATAGTTGCATGTAAATGTCAGGGAGGGGCCACTAAAGCTGTGACTGAATGTCCACCCTTGAAATCAAGCCAGAACTACTTCAGATACGACTGCTGAACACAAAGGTTTGGACACCTCTGCATAGATTCTTTTTTTTTTCTTCAAGCAATAAGATGTAAATAAGCAAACGGACAACAACATATGCAGTTCCCCCAATAGTTACCAAGGTATCTCACCCTGCACCAGGATGGATTTTCTTTTCTTATGTTAATGAGTATGTTTTTCATGCGCAAGTGTGTATTTTATTTGTGTGTGCTTTGACATTTGTTTCTGGATTTGCAAAACATTTTGATTTTGCAAGTGCCTTGTCTGTTTAGGCCACCGTAATGCAGTAATAAAACAAAATGTAGATTATAAAACGGCGTGTGAGTGCATGTCACACAGAAACTGAGACAGAGGAGTCATTCAAGTGGCAAAACTGGTTACTTTAAAATTAGCATCAACGTGTTTCCTGTGACTGTACCAACTAAACACCCAAGGGCCATGTTGCACAGTAGTAAACCTCTTTATGCATGTTCACTCTTTATCATAGTCTTTTATTATAAGACCTTTCCATGATACAACAACTTACTGTATATGGCTCGAAGTTCACTCCCAGCCAGTGACTGATGCAAATCACTTTCTCAACCAAAAACAGAAGTTTGTTCTTTTGAAGCCTGTGAGTGAGTGGCTCAGCTGGACAGAGGAAACAGCCACTTCTCGTATTAGGATGCTTTGTGGCTCAATGTCAGTGGCACGTCTCTGTCTACAAGTCAGATAGAGCTGCAGCGATGGCGGAGGAGGAGGTCAGCTACGCTTCAGTTGTTTTCAAACCTAACAAAAATCCTCCACATCAAGGTAAGTTCAGTTTGTTAAACATCAAGAAAAGATATCAGAGTTATGACATGGATCAGATGCTGCTTCTCTGTCTGTGTGATCATCCTCATATGAAATGTTATCAGACTGAACAGAGGTTGGAATTGTTACTGACCAGGGTTTTATCCAGTAAGTTCACATTTTTAGTGCAGTGTAGGTGAAAATCGCTGTGCAGCCAAAGGTTCAACATGAAATCATTGATTATTTCATAAACAAACAAACCAGAAGTTGATCTCACCAGGAGCTTTGGCACTGCTGATTTAAAATCCCACTGTCGATGTCACTGAACTGTTGACTGTAAGTAACCAGAGCTCATACAATCCAAAACCAACTGCAGAATGTTAAAGTGGTGAGTGAGTGTGTCCTCTGCACATGAATTTAATTACTCACATTTAATCCTTCTGCCAGCTCTAATCCACTGGAATGGCCCTTTTTAGTTTTATCTCAGTGATGTTTCTCCCCAGTTACAGTTTCCTCAGGTAAACACTTTAATTCACAATGTTCCATATGCTGCATATGAAACTGTTGCACTCTGCTGCTGCCTAACCTGAATATTTCCAACATACTGGCTGTAAAACTAGAGATTCCACTGTGACCACAGCTACTGAACCATCAGCAGAATGTGTGATGAAACAGTTTCCCAAAAAAATCAGATGCTCCTCTTTCATCTAGCATCATCTAACTGTAAGAACATGTCAACATCGTCGGTGATCGTTTGAATACTGTTGGTCTGGAGAATAAAGTTCTGGGGAAAACACTGAATAAATTGTCGTTCTTAAGATTCTGAATTTGGGGGAAGCAACATTAAATATCAGGACAAAAGATTCATTTCAAATTATTAAATAAGTCCATGTCAATTAAACATGAGCCAGTTATTAACCACCAGACTGTGTTCTTCAAACTTTAAGCTAAAAAGGTGGAGGAGACTGTGTACGATGAAGTGAAGACACAGAGAGAAACAACAGAACAAACTGCTGCCACCAACAGTAAGTCGGAAAGTACATTGTACATACATCCTGGTATTACTGTAACTGGGAACATTTCTAATATTATGGCTACAACTACTACTGTTTCATTACCATGATAACTAGGAACAGAAAGGATCTCTTTTCAGGAGGAGTGCTGCTCAGCCTGGGAAACAGTTGGACACTATATCTGCTCTGCACAGGCTTTGTCAGTAACCAGATACAGTTTTTAGTCCAAACTAAGTGTATAGTTTTCCTGTGTTTTACTTCCTGTCCTGTAGTTTATAGTAGAGTTCTCTCTATGTTTAATGCAGCAGTGTATTATTGTGGAGCTGCCATGTAGGGACAGTAACAAAGAGACAACTTC